ACATAAAAAAAAAAAAAAAACGTGCAGAACGGATGAGGATGAAGGAAATCCAAGTTTACTTGAGGATGAAGGAAATCCAAGTTTCCTTGCAAATTAAATTGTTAGTAAAAAAAAAGGATATACATCATACAATTAAATCAATCAGTTTAAAATAAGGGATAAAAGATAAATTTTAGAAATTGGGAATATTAAATACCTAAAAATTTAAAATGCACAAATTGAACCCCTTTATGGTCCTTTAGTTCAAAAGATGAGTCTATTGTCTCATAAAATCATACGGTGATTAAATACAATTTTTAAATCCCAAATTCAAATAAAAAAAATGTCAACGCCAAATTTAAAAAGGATCATTTTAATTTCCCATAAGGTCATATACCGAGAAATTATCCAAATACAACTTTCAAATACAAATTTTAAAGTAAAATTTCAAATCAAATTTTAAGACATCTTTGAATTCCTTATATGGTCATATATCGGGGAGTTCTCCAAAATCAAAATTTAAATTCAAGAACTACGATTGACTTGATTCCCTATCAGATGCGTAGACAATCTAAAATTTATGTGCAGTTTCAAGATCAAATTTGACCCTAAAAATCCTCATAATAGACAAAATAAAAACAAAACTAAATCAAATTTCAAAGTGCGTCAATTTCTCATAAGGTCATACACCGAGGAATTATCCAAAATTTTCAAACGCAAAATTCAAATTACAAGTGGCTTGATCCCTTAATGGGGTATGTAGGCAACTCAGCTAAATTCACTGAGTTCAGCCGTAATTTTAAATCAACCCAAATTTTACAAATTCACAAAACAAAACAAAAATTGAATTTACCGTTCTAATTGGAATCAAAAGTTTTTCCCTTATACCAAGAGATTGTAATTAAAAGGTTAGTCTTATAATCTTGAATGAGTCAAAATAAATATAATAAACTCCTATACTAATTAAATCTAATTATGTTATGTGTGAAATATTATTTTATTGTTAATAAATATTTTTACTCAACAAGGTAATTTTCAGTTATAAAGTATTTGGTTTATTTTATCTCTGAACTTGTTTAAAATTGATCCCACTAAGGTATAAGATTATACCAGTTGGAAATAAGCGTGTTTAGATTATGTTGCATGTAATTTTCATTCTACACATCCATGCTTGATCCATATTGTTCAGTTATATCAATATACGTGACCATTGATGGGTTTAGTTATGATAAATGTAGTGAAAGCCGTTTTGATCTTATGTTGATATGATTGATGGACCAGATTATTTTAGGATGCATTCAGTAATGATAACAAAATTCTGAGTACTCATAAAATTATTTTTAATGCACAAATATAAAGTAACACATATAGCTTAAGTGAGAGATTGTTGGGTTTTAATTAACCATGTGGGCTTATATATTAATTATTGTATTAGGTTAAGCTCATTTAAAGTGATCAAATGAGGTTTTAAGTATTTTGGACTTTAATGCATCTAATTAAGTGTGCCTTTTACGTATAGAGACCAAATCATCATTTCTATTTTTATGATGGGCGCAATTAAAAATAATGAAAGTTAACAGCAAGATTTGTGATTTGCTTCCATGACTGATTTAGATATGCTTTCACTTTAGATCATAAAATTTTAGTGATCCAAGATGAACAATCTAGTATTTGGTAAAAATTTTCATATCCTAAAGTACTTTTCTAATATTTCCATCACTGGTGTGTCTTAATTTGAAGGCTAATAGTTACAGCTGTCTTTAGGGAAACGTCATATTCTCTCTTCATTTTCAACTGTTTTAGGGAAGCAGAGGAATTTCGAAGCTTTCGATGGTGAGGAATATAAGACACAACCCATGTTCCTATATCCTATTTTCTTATTCAATGAGAAACCCATTCCAGAAGCACAATCTTTTTCATTTCCCTTTTCTGTCTTTTTTTTTTCTTTTTGGATTTTGAGACTTGATAAGAACAAGTTTCATGTGGGTTTTCATATAGTCATTTTTCTTTCTTAATGTTTATGATTAGTGCTAAAAAGAGGAAAATCTGATGAACAGATTGGCTTTACTGAAGTTTGGTTTGAATGCTTCTTGCTCCGGTTGTTATTGTTTGTGTGAAACTTTCATGTGATTCTTGTCAAAGTAGAAAGGAGGGCATTGGTTGGACTATAAAGGATGGGATCTTCGCCAGGTGAGAAATACTTGGGTTTCTTCTACTTAGGTTTCCTGTTTCTGAATCATAGAAAATCGCCTGATTTTAATCTTAATTGTAACTTTGATAAAGCTGAACTTCTTCCAAGTTGTAGTTTTAGTTTGGCAGTCCTAAAAAGCTGCTGTAGAGTTCTGAGTCTTTTTGTTTCAGCCCCAAGATCAAGTTCGGAGTAGGAATTTTAATGGTGGAAATTGAGGGGGCTCGCGTGTACCTTTTTTTTTGTCGTTTTACTAATAACCGTAAGTTTTAGTTCTTTGGTGTATGCTTCATGATATAATTTGAACATGGGAATGAGTTAACTGTAAGTTAAAATTGTGGAGACAAACTCTCCAGATGAAATGACTTAAGTTAAGTAGGACGAAAAATAAATACATGCATTATAGGTTTAGTAATTCAAGTAATCAGAGTGATAAAATTTCTTTAAATAGTGTGGAGATTGAGACTTCTAAAAAGTTTAGGTACTTTAGGTCTATAGTGCAGTACGAAGAAGATATAGAAGAAGATATTCAACATAGGATTAAGGCAGGGTGGGTTAAGTGGAAGAATACTATGAGAGTTTTATGTGATGACAAGATGCCTATTAAGTTGAAATGAAAGTTCTATAGCACTGTAATCCACCCAGTTATGTTATATGATAGTGAATGTTAGGGCATTAAGAGACAACATGTATCTAAAATGAGTGGGGCAGAAATGATTATATTAAGATGGATGAGTGACCACACGAGAATGAATCGCATAAGAAATGACGTTATTCGTAATAAAGTAGGTGTAGCACCAATAAAAGATAAGATGCGCGAAGGCGCTTGAGGTGGTACGGACATGTCCAACGTAAACTGCTAAAAGCACCAGTTTGTACTTGAGAGGACATTCTTATACCTAATACTAGAAGAAGGAGGAGTGGTATAATACTAGGAGAGGGAGAAGTATACCAAGAATTACGTGGACTGAAATCATTAGGAAAGACATTCTAGATCTAGGCCTTCAAGAAAGTTTAATTTCGAACAGAACCTAAAAAAGTAAAATTCATATAGCCGACCCTAAATAAGTGAAATTCATATAGCCAACCCTAATTAAATTAATCCAATTAAATTGAGATTAACGCTTGTTGTTGTCCTTTTACTAATAACACTGGTTTAGGTTATGTCAGATCCTAACTTTGCACTGATTCTTACTCTTTTTACCTTTTGTTGATTCAAGTATTAAAATATTTAGTCTTGACAATATATATTCATTATTGAATGAAAAGAGAATCTCCCAATTAGTTTTATAAGGAAGTTTGTCAAAATTGAAATCTCGGTGAAATATAGTCTATTAGAACCTTTTGGTTGAAAACTGATTGAACGTAGGGAAATTTAATTAAGAGGAGTGGGAATGAACATGACTAAGAACTGTACTTTTTTTTTTTTTTTTAAAAAAAAAGCTACCTCTTAGACTCCCTAGCTTAGACCCCTATCCTTTCATTCCTTCAATGATAATGTGTAATGAATTAAAAGCCATCAACAACGGCAGAAGAGTTTAACTCTTTTACATGAGTTATAGATAGCAACTAAAGTTATGGATGTTTCTTTCTAATTTAGGGCAAAAAACTTCCCCAGCTTAAAGTAATTAAACATTTTCTCTGTGTTTATGCGCTGATATATATACAAAACCTCTTCACATCCATAACTAAATATGACAATACAAAGCAACTTTTCGTGTTCTTTACAAATTGATGTTATATGACAATGAAGGATTGAATTAAATATTTTGCTACACTACACGTCAATTGATCTGTTGTCATATAACGGAGAACATTGCTATATATATATATATATATATATAAACATATGTATTTTATATATTGTAATCACCTACCGCGCAATGACTGAGCTGCAAAAGCAAGCACGTGTCTTGCACGTGCTGCTCTTTCTAGTTACTAATAGAAACACACATAAATAACAGAAAACTTGTAAATTTGGTGCACGTATTATTATGAATGTAAGGACAGTCACTGAATATATGATTGGCCGGTGATATCAATGTCTCTGTCACCTGTAGAAGGTGGAGGTGTATGCTTGGGCCGGGTTTCAGCGAATTCAACTGGGCCGTCAGCACTCTGGGTTTCACTGGCTGGTGTCTTATTCCCCGGTGGCTCTTCTGGTTGTCCCTCCTCGGTGCCGTACATTCCACCGCCGTAGGCGCAGCGGGTTACCGGCTCCATCGGTGATATGTTGGGCGGTTGCTCATGGGCCTCGGCCTTATGCTTTGTCTCTTCTCTTATTTGGCTCTCCCTCTCTGCCTCCACTTTCTTTTGCTGATCATCTTGAATCTCCTTCTTTTCCATCATCACTGTTTTTTGCGGTTTTCTTATTCTATCAGCACTTGAGATTGAGAGTCGTCTATCTATGTATATGGTTTCTAATTTTCTATCTAAATTTTCGTTAGTTTTGCCGTTTTTAAACTCTTTTTAGTGCCTACGGTTTCTGTATAACATTACACGTGGAAGCCTTTGTGACGTGGTGAGAACATGAGCTGCCTCGTCACTGACGGCATGCAAAATGTCTACGTGCATCAACCATACACCTCAGCGCCTGTTATTCACATTTGTGGTCGTTGTGGTTTTTGACGAGTTTATTCTTTCAATTTCATTAGTCGTTTAATTTCTGACTTCCAACAATCTGAAAAGACGTAACTATTAACTACCTCGTTATTGCTATATATTTTCACAAAATTACTAAACTTAAACGTGATTTGGCCGTGTCGTTTATGATTATCATGGTAACATATTACATATTCTCTCTTTTCTTCCCCTTTTTAATATTTTTAATGGATCAAAACAGCTTGCAGCTATCTCTCCATTTTTTTGTGCTTTACATGTTCTTTTTTCTGTTCCCGTAATAATTTCACTCTTTCTTTTAAAAGGTGACAACGCAACATTATTCGGTAGGCATAAACTCATGCACAATATAGGTTAAACCAGCCAGAAGTCACTCTCAAACGGTCATATATATATATATATAATATATAGTTTATTCTCTTAGGTAGTAGCCGTTTCATTTGAGAAAAACCATCCACTTTTATAATGTCTCTCTTATGTTAACTACCACAAATAAAGACTATACATGAACTTTAATTTATACATGAACCTTATATATATAATTAGTTTCATTCCTCTATTCCTCATGTTCTGGCCAGAAACTAACAATGGTACATTTAACAGGAAAAATAAAAGAAAAAGAGAAAAAAAAGGAAATGATAAAAACGTGCGAGACATTCTTCAAAGATATATTTACACACAAAGATATATATATGTATATATATATATATATATATATATATAAAGCGAGAGTAAAGATGCCTTCTCATCATCTCCACGTGGGATGACTCAACACCAATATACTAACGTGGAAACCCCTCCTAATTAACCAACACTTTCAATGCATAATACCGTGGTTGTGACAATTGTGACAAAACGGAAGGAGAATCTCTGAATCATCAATGTATACCTGATTTTTTTTTTAATTAAAAATATATACCTGAAATTCTTATCTCAAATGCTCACAACTACAACACTTAACGACAACTTCTTTGGTACTCTATCTGTCATGTTCATGTCTACTATTGCACCCCAAGCATATGAGATAATTCTTATAAATATTCCTCCAAAATTAGGGGAAGATGGAGAGGAGTGATCCGTTAAACTGAATTAGTTGTTGGGCTTAATTATTTAATACCATTTAACGCTAAGTCATCATCATGGAAGGTTGGCGGTGCATGATGTTTACTTAACACGTTTTTGATAAAGAAATTAATGTAATGTATTTATTAAATGGTGTGGTGATTTTAAAAGGGGAAGCTGTTTAATTATGTCCTCTTTATTTGCAAACCATGGATTTTAAAAAGTTGATTTATATCTCTGCCAATACCATGCTTATACATCTTTTATAAACTCTTCTTAAAAATAAATAAATAAATCTACAAGACAAAGTCTTTGCATTTTTTGGTCTCGTGCGGTTAATTTGGCCATTATGTATCACTTGACCATAAAGAATGAATTTCGATCTGCTGGCAAGCTCAGCATCCAATGAAAAAGGGGTTCCAAAGACCACCATATATATATATATGCTTAAACCTTCTATTTCAAGTATCTCTTTTACAAAATATAAACAAAGCTCTTCTTTGTTTTATGATTTAACAATATACAAGTTGCATGATGTATAATTTTTCCCCTCCGCAAAAGGAGGCTTAAATCTTAATGAGTAAATAATAATAGAGATATGGGAATCAGCTGATCATAATATTAATTAGTTTGACTTCATAAAGATTTTACGAAATAATTTTTCGTAATAATCTTCTTCATTAATGTTATGTGCTGCCATATATGATCTTCCTCGAGCCCCTGTATATACAAAAAATTCTCAAATTCCAAGAGAAAATACGCTGGCACAACCCGCACGCGTTAACAAATTATTAAAAACTACCGAAACACTAAATTTGCATTAATTATGTATCGCACAGATTAATGCGCTGTGTTTTGGTCCACTTTCCAGACCTGTCATATATATTAGTGACAGCTGATTAAAAGTGAAAATCATTCATACGTGTTCTATTAGGCACTTTCTTCATTCGTTTATTTCGCTGATTCAAGTTTAAAATTTAAATTTTATTACAATAAAAAACTCTTATAAATAATCGCATTTAACTTTTTTGCTACAGTAAAAAGTTCACATAAAATCACATCTCAACTCGAATCAGTGAAACAAACGAGGCAAACTACCTAAGTTCAAATTTGATCAGAAAAAAAAAAAACCAAGTACCAATGAATAAAATTTCTTTCATCTTTTGTTTATCAAATGCCATGTTCTTATTACTGACAAAATTTATGCATCATGCCATTGAGATTAGCCATTTAAATAACATGTTTGGTTTTGATAATTCCATTTGACAAGAATTCACGCGTCTTCTCTCAAGTCAATTGTCATAGAGAGAGCGCAAAAGGGTCAGGATCAAAGTGCCACGCTTGCATCAGGATCAGTAACAAGCTGGTGAAGGAAAAAAAAAAAAAAAAAAAAAACCCTAGACCTTGATGACTGCTAAACACCACAATTAATAAAAAAAAAATGCATCTGTCTCTTCTTCTTCTCATAAGACGCGTACAGATTCGATATTATTTAGCCCTATTTTAGGACCCCTGTTTAATCAATGAAATTTATTTGAGTAAACTTGTATCGAATCTTTTCCATTTAATGGTAAATCTGGATATTTTTAAAACGAAAAGGCAAATAAAAGACGGGAAAATACTAATGATCTTGTAATTAATGCATGGTGTTAAATATTGGCTTCATTTGTTTTATGAATTTGAGTTTTTAATTTAAATTGAGATATGATATTTTTTAAGAGTTTTTAACTGTAGCAGAAAAAATTAAATATGTTATTTTTTAAAAATTTTAACTGTAAAAATTTAAAATTTAAAATTCAAATTAAATGAATGAGACCTAAAAATATCTTTAGAACCCGTTTAGTTCGCTGATTCGAGTTTTAAAATCGAGTTGAGATGTGACTTTATGTGAAAATTTTTTACTGTAATAAAAAAATTAAATGTAACTATTTTTAAAAGTGTTTTACTATAATAAAACTTAAATTTTAAACTCAAATCAGTGAAGCGAACTGCCCCGTTTATTTCGTCGATTTGAGTTTAAAATTCGAGTTTTGTTATAGTAAAAAGCTCTCAGAAACAGTCACATTTAACTTTTTTACTACAATAAAAAATTTTCATATAAAATTATATCTCAACTCAAATTAAAAATTCAAATCAACGAACTAAACAGCCGGAGTCTCCAACATTATTCGAGAAGAAATTGTGCGTTGGGAGTTGTCATAAGTTCTTGCTTTGGGCCGCAACTCCCAACAGTTACACAGAGGATCCGCGAGTGCCAGCTTGTCCATATCACGTGGTGTCCCCTCTCCACGGGAACCGCTAACACCATTACCTGCCTCGGTTTTCACCCCCTCTCTCTCTCTTCTCTCTCTCTCTCTCTACTCAATTCCCACATGATTACCTCTCTCACAGCTGTCCATTTTCCCGGATCCAGTCTCCCTGGTCCCTGCCCTCGTGTGTATATACTGATATATACATATATGCATTCTCCTTTCTTTGTATACTCCAGCCTCAACCCTTCCTCTCTTCGCCAAACCGAATCAAACGACAACAAAAACCAAATTCGCCAAAAAAAAGAAAAACGACAATGGTGGGCGTTTTCCGTCGCTCCCTTTCTTTCAATCCCAGCCGTCCATCACCAAAACAGCCGATATCCCATCACACAAGATCAATCAGTCTTCCGTGCAGATCTCACCCGTTGATTTCCCAGCTCAGGGACAAGATCACCGATCTTCACTCCTGGTCCGAAGCCACTACCAGCTCCAGAACCTCGGCTTGGCTCTGCGACGGCTTGAGCCGGCTCAGAGACCTCCACGACTGCCTCGAGGACATCCTCCAGCTCCCCCAGACGCAGGAGTCCCTCCGCCGCCAGCCCCACTCAGTCGAGAAGCTTCTAGAAGATTTCCTCCGCTTCGTCGACGTGTACGGAATCTTCCAGACCTCGATTCTAGCTCTCAAGGAAGAGCAGTCGGCGGCTCAGGTGGCCATAAGGAAACGAGACGAGTCGAAGACGGCTCTTTGTCTGAAAGCGAGAAAGCGAACGGCCAAGGAAATGAGGAAGCTTGTAGCGACCGTCCGATGCATCGAACGGCTGGCATCACCGGTGGTTTCCGTCGGCGACGCTGAGCTTGCCGATGCCATTGGGGAGGTGGTGGAGGCGACGGTGACGGTTTCCGTAGAGCTGTTTAACGGAATTGCAGTGTCGCTTGGGCCGAAGAAATCGTCGGCGTGGAGCTATATAGGGCTGATTAGGTTGAAGAAGAAAGCGAAGAAAGTTAATTATGTTAATGTAATTAGTGAGGAAGGGATTAAGGAATTTGAAGAAGTTGGGACGGAGTGTTTGGTGGGATTGAGAAAGAAGAGCGACGAGGAGATCAGGAAGGCATCCATGAAGATGCGGGAATTGGAAACCTGTATTGGCGGGATTGAGAATGGCGGCGAGAGGATTTTCAGGAGTTTGATTAACGCAAGAGTTTCGCTTCTCAACAGTCTCACACAATAATTTTTTTTTTTTAAATGTAATATTATTAACTCCGAAAGAAGCAAATTAAAGATGTTAGAGATGCAATTTTTATTTTTCTCTTGATTTTTTTATTTATTTTTTTGGCTCTACAGCGATTCTTTCTGTAAAGTGGTTGTTCTTTTTTTTTTTTTTTCCAATATTTGATACAAATGATTTATTGCTTCCTATTTTCAATATTACTCAATTTTGTTCCTCTTCCTCCTTTTAAAAATAAAAATGAACCTAAATTCAAAAAGAAAAAACGGATTCATATCGTTGTTGTTATGTACGGTGATTAATGATTACCGGCCTCGTGCGAGAGGATTCTGAAGCAATACGCGGGATTATAGCATTAATTCAAGCAAAGAACAATATGAAGTGTTCGTTTAGTTCATTAATTTGAGTTAAAATATAATTTTATATAAAAATTTTTTAACGTAATAAAAAAATTAAATCTGATTATTTTTTAAAATTTTTTACTGTAATAAAATTTAAATTTTAAACTTGAATCGGTAAAATAAACGGGACATTTGTAAATTGTGATCACTCTTACCATAAGCATGACTAATATTGATCTGATTAGAGGATACAATCAATCTATATAGACAGGTTTTTTTAGTAGGAAAAAAATAAATAAATCTTCACGTGAAATTGCATGGTTAAACGATAAAACTACAAAGTGGGCCTATTACTGAACCATTTACACGTGGCACGCATGGAAATTAGTACTATTACGCAGAATGTTTTTGGCTATGAAAAGAGGTAATATGCGAAATAAAAAAATCATAAATATTTCAAACATATTTTACATCGGAGACTACATAAAAAAGTTCCGATCTGCTGCCGGCGGGCGCACATGGTTGCATGTTAACAGTTTTCGTTAAAGGCTAATGCTATCATGATCATCAAGTATAATTAGCTTGGTTTGCACATTAATTAATAAAACAAGAAAGCACGTGGTTTGTCATACTTAATTGAATCACATAAAGTTATTATGACCCGTTTAGTTCTCTGATTCGAATTTTTAATTTGAGTTGAGATGTAATTGTTTATGAGAGTTTTTGATTATAATAAAACTCGAATTATAAGTAGTTTCAATAATTCCTTCATCATAAGTTATGCTCTTAATGGTAAAGAATTAATTAATAAAGACTACTATAAAGCTTCCTATCATTGAATCTGCTGTGACTGTCTATCCTCAACTTGTTGATATGGAATGTTGGATTCTCCACCGCCATTGACAACCAAAAATAGCTCGACGCTGCTTTGGCTGGGATCCCAAATGGTGGTCCCTTAGGCCAAATTGTGTCTTCATGGATAGAGGCCATTATTAGGAGCTTTAATAGTTATACAACCTATTTATCCCAATAATTACTTATCAAAATACAATACAAAATAAAATACAATAAAATAAGATAAGATAAAAACCTATCCACCAATAATTTATCTCTCGAACTCATTTGATAATTCTCTAATACCGATATCATAAATGAGTAAAAAGTTTAATATAAATCTTTAGGAACTTAATTGTGGCCTTCATTTCAAGATTATTAAAAAGTACTCTTAATTAATTTCTTATTATTGCAATTGTATAGTATCAAATTTTATATTCAAAGGTATCTTGGTCATTTTTTTAGTGAAAATAGTTTGTTGACCAAGAAAATATATACATTTAACGCTAATTTAAATTCAATCTAAAGGTACATTTACAATGTTTGAAAGCCAAAGATATATTTTTTTGAATAAATCTAAAATTTATGGCAGAAAAATTAATCAAAAAAGCTTTTGATTCAGTAAATTACAAAGTTGTTCTCTTAAAATTTGTTTGTTTTAAACTTCTTAGAAGTTATATTTTGAATTTTGTCCCCATGCTTTAATTTATCTCGTGTTGCACATTGATTCCAAACCCTTTGTTTGGTATTTATTCTTTCACATTAACATCAAAACAAAATATTATATAGTATATGGATATACCATTTCGATCTTCTCTCAAGAAAGAATAAGAATCATCTAAACCCGTCACTAAAACATAGCGGGTTTCACTCCAAAGTGAGCCTCAAAAAGTACTTCAAAATACCATTTTTCCAAATTAAAGTGTCATTTTTCCAACTGTAAAATTCAAATAACAAGCGATATCTTTGTAACTTTCAGCTTGATTGTTGCTATCTATAGACTTTTTAAATTCATGTTATAATTATACGGTTTTTTTCTTTGCATATAGTCTCTTTTGTGCCTTTTTCCTCTCATGTTGAAAATATTTAAAGATTAAATCTAGTTTTAAATTCATTGAGAATTGGACCTTTTTTTTTTTTTTTTTTTTTTTTAAATTTTAGTTGATCATACTATGTAGTCTATGCTGACACTTTGTTTTATAGGTTGGTTTATTTTTGGATTTCTGAATGAATAAGCTAGAAAGCCAAAGAAAAAAAAAATCCACAGCCATTTTTTTTTTTTTTTTTTTAAAAAAGACCGTCGCTGCTACGTTTTTAAGAAGTACTTTTGATTTGGCCTTTCACCATGTTGCAATCAATTATTGTGGTATGAAGTATTTTCCACAGAACTCGACAAAAGACTGTTTTTGCCTTTCTGGCATATTTTGAAGGTTAAAAAATTTCGAACGTAAGAGAAACGAAAAGTAGTGGATAGATTGTTCTTTTAAGTGGAATGCTATGTAGGACGAATATTTATATGCAACACTCTTACAAGGTCTAGAATCTGTTTATAACGTTTTTAAAATGATTTAATGAGATTATTTTGAGAATTATTTTAAAATAGTTTTTGATTAATTTATTAAAAGATTATTTTGAGTATAATAAAAAAATAAAATTGTGTTTAGTTATAATTATTAATTAATATATTATAATATTATTGATAAGTATTAATAAATAAAAACATAAAAAAATAACTTTTAACCGTTTTTTTAATTTCTTTACAAAAATCATTTCACTGTTTTTTATTTTTATTTTTGTTTTCAAAACAATTGCTAAATTAACACGATTTAGAGACCGTTTTTATTTTCGTGCCTTAAAAAATGTGTAAAAACATTTTCAAAAATAAATAAAAATTAATCATAAATGCACCCAATATGTTACACAAGGTAAAGGTTGGGGACCGAAACCAATGAAGCAAAAACATGTAATAATAATAATAATAATAATAATAAAATAAATAAATAGAAACTAATAAGTAATAAATAAAGCTATACTAAAAGTACTTCTAAAGCTACAAAATTCTTCATATTGTTATAATTTTTTATCTGATTGCTGATCAATGCTTGTATATAAAAATTTATTGGAACAACTCTTCTTTCCAAAGTTTGCTTATGCTTGGATTTAAACCTCTCTTTTTAGTAAGAACATGTTTCATTTGAAAAAACGGAATTTTGTTTTTGCTTTTTAGTTGTACTGTTATATGATCGTTGTTTTTGAATGTTGGCGTTTTTGAGCGAATTCGTATTCAATTAGGTACGTGCGCAAAACGCTAAAATTATTGGGAGACAAGATTCAACATTGAGCTCCAATGTACTAATTATTCTATTGCAAAGATTATTACGTTGTCAAAGTTTAAATTTCACGTTCCGAAGTGGACAAGAGAAATATTCGGCTTTTGAAATCAGAAAATTGTCTTATTCTTTAAACAAACAGGCCGCGGCCCACGAGGCCGACAGGGATTCGTCAACAACACGCTGAAAAGTAAGACGGGCCATGCAATGCAAAGCTTTGTAAGGACGTATTTTGGGCTCCACTCCCCTTCGTGACAACACACCAACCTGATTAAGAGAAGGAAAAAAAAAAAAAAACGAAAAGACATCAACAATTACAAATGCATATGCAAAAATTCAAAAGTTACAATATAAGGTCATTTTCAAACCACCGCGGAGATTGGCAATCATTCTTCAGCACTTCCATGCACGTTATGGGCTGTGAAAAAAGTAAAAGCATTTGAAATCACATCAGTAATTTTTTTTTTAACTCATAGACAATTGACAATCGACTACCAAAACTAAACTCATAAACAACTGACAATCGACTACAAAAACTTTTTAAGATGAGGTAATATCATGACTCAGTTAAGTGATCATACCGGTACGAATATAGGATTTTAAATCAGAGTGATTCTAATTACGATTATAATCAGAACCATAATTCATGATTTTGAGTTCAAATCAGAATCAAAAGTTTAAATCACCTTGAATTAAGAGGGTGGTGGTTTTAGAATCATGATTTGAGTTAGTTTAAAACATCACATTATATTATAAATTATTATTTATAATCATCTAAACTAAATACTGATTCTAAATCATGATTTAAAATCATTATAAATAAACACTAATTCTGAACCAAGATCCAAAATCATAATTTTAAATATATCTACCAAATGTACCCTAAATTGCTAGAAGATAACTCCGTTAACACAAATTTTTTTTTTTTTTTTTTTTTGAAAATTGTGTAGGCAACATTTGAAATCTGTGATTAACTTCAACAACATATGATTGAAGGCAAGCAAATTTTGTGGGGACCTTTGTTGAAGAGTGTTATATGTAATCATGTGAAAGTTGGTTCTTTTACCATGAATGTATATATTTATACGTAAACTGATAGAAAGACTGGCTCTTCTGGGAATTAGGATTAAAGGTAGCATGAGAGGACCATGACCCCCCATTCCTTCTGGTTCTTTACTATTGTATTATTTATCTTCTTCCACCTCAAAAGCAAAACCATGAGAAGCCAAATTTTACTGAGTTGGAATTCCACCGGGTCCTGCTTTTGAGATAGTGTGTCCCGTTCAAAACTCCTGTCTGAGACATTACTGTTGTTTAGTTTAAGGTCCCGTTTATTTTATTAATTTGAATTTTGTTATAGTAAAAAATTTTCATAAATAGTTTAATTTAATTTTTTTATTATAATAAAAAACTCACATAAAATTACATCTTAATTTAAATTAAAAATTTGAATCGACGAACCTTAAATTTAGGAGACATTTAGTAAGGAGATTCATAGCATGATTTGAAGCATGGTTAATAATTTGCTACACTATTTTTTCTAACAAAAAATACATATAAATTAAAAATAATTTTAAGGTCTCATTTATTTTATCGATTTGAATTTTATTATAGTAAAAAATTATCACAAATAGTTATATTTAATTTTTTTATTACAATAAAAAATTCTTACATAAAATTACATTTTAATTCAAATTAAAAATTCGAATCAACGAACCCTAAATTTAGGAGACGTTTGGTAAAGAGATTCATACTATAATTTAAAATATGGTTAATAATTCGTTATAATATTTTTTTAACAAAAAATATACATAAATTAAAAATAATTTTAATCTTATAATTTTAATTCATAAATTAAATGTGTCCGGTGAAATAATTGGATTGGAATTACAAACGGTTAATCTTTGCCAATAGACAAAAAAAATAATGGGATGCTTTTTGTTACGAGTTATGATTATTAGAATTATGATCGTTTGAAAATAAAATCGCACGCTTTTGCTTAATGTCAAATTCACAATAAATTACCCATCATTGCTTTTTAGTTTGTCAGTTTTTCTTTTTGGTTGTAATCTTTTTCTTTTGGTCTAATAACCGAATATATTAACGTATTCGTGTGCGTCCTACAAGGGAGATTTCACTATACATTAGTGGTATCAGTGCAAATACTCCAGTGTAATAATGATAGAAAGCAGGGATGTCATTGCAAAAAAAAAATTTCCAAACAAGAAAAATTGAGACGTTATGAAATATGTTTGAGACAGTACCATATTTAGCACACAGTATGCACTTAAACTATGCCGCCAGACATTCCCTCTTCCGAGCCAAACACAAACACAAAGCACAAAAGTGGTCCTTTTCCATTCCCGAACACAAGCATAAATACGACATTAAATTAACAACAACAGAATAGAAAAAAGGAAAAAAAACAAACCACAAAACAAAACATTTAACTCAAGTGCATATTGATTCAAAAACCCGAGACTCAGAGAGAAGCCAGAAGTGAGAAGCCAAAAAGCATTTCCCATTCTCACTGTCTAAATCTCTGTCGGAGAAGTGTCCTTAGTTACTGAATTCTGAATCTGATTGGGCGTGGTTTTGGGCCTTCAGAGACGGCCATGGGCTGTGCCAACTCGAAGCTCGACGACCTCCCGGCGGTGGCCCTCTGCCGTGACCGCTGCAAGTACCTCGACGAAGCTCTCCGCCATAGCCACACCTTCTCCGACGCCCACGCCGGCTACTTAGACTCCCTCAAAACACTGGGCCCCACTCTCAACCGCTTCTTCGCTCATAACGCAGATCACCACCAAGCCAGTGTTAATGGCGCCGAGCCTCCGAAACCTTCTCCGCCGCCGGAGAAATCCCGCTCGGATTCCGTGGACGATGGGGCCGACAAAGATCGGGTTAGTTTCCTCACTGAAGACGAAACCCAGGGCTTAATCACTCACAATTTCGGCTTCTCCAGCTCTGTTAATGGCGGCTCGGCTCCTTCGAAGCCGCCGCCGTCGCCTCCACCGGCTTCGATTGGCTCGGCGTGGGATTTTCTGAACCTGTTCGACACGTTCGAGAGGTACGAGCGTTTGTACATTTCGAATTCGGAGAGCGAGCTGAGAGAATCCACGGCGGCGGCGGATAAGGTGGTGAAACCCGAGGGATCAGACGAGAAAACCGGCGCGGGTAAGGCTCAGGCAGCGGAGGATGGAAAAACGGCGACGTACGAGGTTCCGGTGGTGGAGAACAAGATGAAGGAAGAAACGGCTGAGAAGGCAAGCGACTCGGCTGCTTCGGCGACCCCACTTGGCGTCTCGGAAGCTTTGAATTTGATTCAGGTTCTGTTCGTTCAAGCTTCAGAGTCTGGAAATGGAGTTCTCAACTTGCTCTATTATCGTCAGAGAATGCCTCTTAATCAAGGTAATTACTTGTTTTGTTTGCTCACTAAGTTTAAGATTTAGTTTGGTCAAAACTCAAACTATTAAAAAAATATATATTTTTTGTGGGTATTGGTCAATTGTAGATTCTTTTCGTTTGTGTTTTGAGGAAGATATGGGGATTAGTCCACGGAATCTGTCTTCCACTTTAAAGAAGCTCTTATTGTGGGAGAAGAAACTTTATTGTGAAGTCAAGGTAAGATTTTTAATTTCATGTACTGATTTAAATGTCTATCAGAATTATTAGTTATTTTATTTGTGTGGAAGTGAATATGATTTTGACCATCTTTTTTGTAGGCTGAGGAAAAGCTGCGCATAATTCACCAGAGAAAGTTACAGGAGCTGAAATATTTGGATAAAGAGGGTGGTAACAAAGCTCAGAAAGCTAACTCCACTAGAGCCTTGCTGAGAGACTTGACAACTAAATTGAATATTGCTTTTCAGATTGTTGACAGGATTTCAATTGCAATCAACAAGTTGAGGGACGAAGAATTTTGGCCTCAGATCATGGAATTGAACCATAGGTATCATGCCATTATTTCTTGTGTTGTTTAGGGCCCGTTTGGTTCACTAACTTGAACCCGTGAACTAAACGGGCCATTAGTCTTTAAAACAAAAGACAAATTTTGGGAGAGAGTAATCCATAATCCACAATGATAATATGGTAACATTACAAAGTTTTATAGTTTTTGCCTTTGAAGAGGTCTTTTTGAAATTTTGGGACCAAGCTACTTTTGTTATACTAAAAAGTAATGATTTTTTCATCAAGGTTGATACTTTTTGACAAATGGACTCCATACCCAGCATATAAACTACTTTACTTTTGATTTCATAAGCTGTTTGATGTTGTGCAATTGTAGCAATTGTCTCCTGGATTGAGTCCATGCGTCTATGAGTAACTGATTGCAAATATGTGCACTTTGAACAAAGTAGCTGAAAATGGTTCAATTCTGAATTTTGGATTGCAATTATATATGTAATAGTTTGAGCAAGTATTTGTATTTGTAGGTAAGCAAAAAATAACCGTTTGATCTAGCTTTTGCAGGTATTATCTTTCCCTAACTAATTCTGTCTAGTTCAGAAGAGAACTTAACACTTCTTTGTATTCTGTTTTTTCCTTGAAATTGCAATCTTAAAATATAATTGAACTTCCTCTATGGAAATGACCTTGTTGACATAATCCAAAAAGCATAAAATCAAAATGAGTTTGCCTCGAAAGCATTCTCTAAATGAAGATATATCTCAACTTGAATTTTAGGCAGCTCTTTATCGTGGCTGACCTAATCAGTTTGATGTCCTTAGATTACTCCAAATGTGGAAAGCCATGCTAGAGTGTCACAAGTCCCAATACCAAGCGGTTGCAGAAGCGAAAGGTTTAGATGCGATCACATATGATGGAAAGCTGAATAATGCTGATCTTAAAGCCGCCATACAGCTCAAGTTAGAGCTTCAAACCTGGAACTTAAGCTTCTCCAACTGGGTTTTCACTCAAAAGGACTATGTAAAATCCTTGAACGGTTGGCTCGTGAGATGTCTTCTATACGAACCCGAAGAAACACCTGATGGTTTAATTCCGTTCTCTCCTGGTAGGCTTGGTGCACCCCCGGTATTTGTCATCTTGAATCACTGGTCACACGCCATGGATACACTCTCAGAAGCCGAAGTGATTGGAGCAATCCAGGGATTTCTTGCAGCCATAGATCTGTTACTAAAAGAGCACAATGTGGATCTTCAGCAAATAGTCATTGCAGACAAAGAAATTGAGAAGAAAGTTAAGATCTTGGAGAGGGAGGAGCAAAAGATGCAAAAGCTAATGCAGGGTCGAGAGAAGAATATGGTAATCTCGGTCGGTCATACTCATCAGAAAGGGACTAGTTTTGTTAACCACAGTGAAATTATCAGGTATAGTAACTTGCAGTTGGGTTTGAAGCAGATATTTCTGGCCATGGAGAAGTTCATGCAAAATTCCATGCACATATACGAGGAACTTCGCATTCGAATTGAAGAAGTCAGCGAACATGCTTTGGAGACTCAAACTGGTGCATAAATTTTCACACATATAATAAGGTACTTGTCTGCCTTGTTATAAATCAATTTTGCTGGTAACTTCATGAGTATCATTGTTATTGAGGCTGGCTCATTAAATTAATTAACATGGTTATTATACTTCGAAAGGACTAGTTGTTCCTAAATTCCTATCAATGACGCTTATTCCTTTTCACAGTGCCTAACTTTGTGTGAATACTATTATCAGTTTGATTGCTTAATTCACTTGCTATATACGATGTAAAAAAAAAAAAAAAAAGTGTGCAATTTGTAAGTTGGAGTGGTTGGATTCTTAACTGTGACATCATGACCAAAATGTCTCCCAACCCCTTTTCAATCATGAGGGATCTTGTATTTTATATATGTGTTTAGTAAACTTTTTTATGCAGATGCTGTTAGAGAAATTTCTATTATCTCGTTTATTTCACTGATTCAAGTTTTATTACAATAAAAAACTCTCAGAAACAGTTACATTTAACTTTTTTACTATAATAAAAAGCTCTTATATAATATCATATCTCAACTTAAATCAAAAACTTGAATCAGCGAACTAACGGCATGAATTGAACCCTTGCTTTAGATGTCATTATTCTCATTGGGCACTGAAATTAAAATATAATACAATATTCGACCATGCTAAAAAGTCAAAGGAGTCTGCTTAATGGCTTAACGATATTGATTTGAAGGCAAGGGGAAAGAAAAAATAACAAGCAGTTATCATCATTATTATTATTATTATTATTATTATTATTATTATTATTGAAAGGGTTGAAATTCTATTATGGAGAAGAGTCAGAAGACATTCTTTTTTGGTATTTTTATTAGAAAATTGTTTTTTTAACACGTCGTGGAAGTTAATTGACCTTTTGGACCAACGTGGATCAGCAGAAGACAGGTTGCGTGGTGCATATGCCCCCCAAAGAAAAAAAAAATTGAGAAGTTTGAACAGTTGACTAGTTGTTTGGGCAGGGGCATATTGTGTAATTAGAATAATATATTTCGACTTGGACCGTGGGGTCATTTGCACATTGTAAGGATCGATCTGTCTTTTTCATCCGCGGAAATCCAATACATAAAAAAAATTCGAAGATCCCAAACGGATTACGTTTGTTTTGTAAATAAAGCCGTAAGGTTTTTTGCTTTTTTATGGAGTGGTTTTAAGAAAGCGTTTCCTGTTGACCTGAGAAATATTTAACTCAAATTAATTATACATTCATGGCTTGGATTGGAGCCTATATAATACAATAACGTAATTAATGGGTTGCGTGCTTATGAGATTAATGGTAAAAAAGTAATAAGTGGCAAAAAGTGCGAAAGAGATGTGCAAGGCGGCAATGTCCAAAGTCACTCCAAACAACCAAGAATACGTGGATCACAAAAAAATAAATAGCCTTTTCTATTTTGTCTTATTTTATATTATACATATAGAATATGAATATATATGTATATATATACACGTGTGTGTACGTATATCATCCTCCAAGTCGTCCTCCACACGCACCGCCGCGTTTTCATCTCAAACGCCGGTTATGACTCATCGTATCATTTCCTTTGCCAACCCACAAGTTTTCGCAACTTCCACAACCTTACACTGTTTACAATTAACCGTAAAAGGACTAAAATGGAAAATCCTCAATTTACGTGGGTCAATCACAATGAGAAAGTTCAATAAATATTCTTAATTCGGAAGATGCATGAACAAGTGAAAGAAATACACTGGCAATGACAACAGAAAAAGAAAAAAGAAAAAAAAAAGAAATTAATGGTCAAGCCCAAGTAAATATCGTGACACACAATAAACATGGAAAAAAAATCATTTACGTATTTTATAAGTTTAGTTTAACACTTTAATGTATTATGTTGTTTTAACGAACTCATTTATATCATAATTTAAAAAACTACGGGAAAAAAAAAATCATTTACGTATTTTATAAGTTTAGTTTAACACTTTAATGTATTAGTATTATGTTGTTTTAACGAACTCATTTATATCATAATTTAAAAAACTACCATTGTGGAGTTTATTTTATTTTATTTTATTTATTTATTGAGAATACAGACTTATCTTCTCTTTTAGTCTTAAAACTAAATTAAAAATAAAAAAAAACCATTATTTTTTTAAAAAAGAAGTTTTTCATATCCCAGCTCAAAGAAAGAGTTTTATGTTTTTAGTTTAAAAAATGTTTTTAAAAATAAAAGGGCATAACCGTTATTTCATGCCTTAAAGTAGCTCCTATTTCAACTAATATTCTCTCTATAACAAATTATAAATTGCTTCAATGAGATTTCCAGGTACTACTAATCTAATTAATGTACTCCAATGAGATTTCTCACGTACTACTAATTTAATTAATTGTTGAACTACATAATAACAATACTACTATACTAATAACAATGAGACGTTAGATCAGTTTCAATCTTACTAAAAAGGGGACTCTTTAAGGGTCTCTCTAGATTTCCTATGAGAGTTTTATTTTCTTCTCTTTCAGTGTTTAGTTTTCTTCAAAAAAGTCTATGTGCTCGTCGTGTTTTGGATTAAGATGGAAGATATTGTTGGGAAATTGAGATCTCTATTGATTACGGAGGATGAAGAATCGTTGATGGATGTAGGGGCTTCAGAAATGAATGAGAATGTGGGGCTCAAGTATGGCCTTATGGGGAAGATTTTGACTAAATGGCCTTATAATCGTGACATTTTTAAAACAACAATGAAATCCTTATGGCATGTTGATATAAAGGGATTGTGGATTAGGGATTTAAAGGATGGCGTCTTTCTATTTGAGTTTAAGATGGATAAGATGGAGCCCTGGATTTTTAATAAGTCTCTTGTGGTTTTGAAAGAGGCTGATGGGGATGATCGTCCTTGTTAGGATGGTTGGTGCTTTACGCGAATTTTGGCCTAAGTTTACAACCTCCCTTTCAAAGGGATGACTAAAAGTGTGGGAAAGGTGGTAGGAAATTCGTTCAATAAGTGTATTAAAGTAAATGCGGATGAAAAGGGGCGGTGCCATGGTTCGTATATATGGGTTAGAGTATTGCTTGATATTTCTAAACCTCTGCGTAGGGGGGAGAATCCGTTTAGGAGATAATGGAGAGATTGCTTGTGTAGACTTCAAATATGAATGACTCCCTAATTTTTGTTATGGGTACGGTCTATTGGGATGTACCCTCTCAGAATGTCTCATAGTGATGGATGGTGTACAATAAGGGGGATGATTTAAGGTATGGTGACTGGTTGAGAGCACCGAAACCTAACCGTTTTATCCATCGGATTGCCAGGGCTCGTGGAAGGGGATTTCATAGTGGTTCACAATTGTCCCCATGGCGTAGAACGGGTGGCGAAAGTTCTCTTTTGCTGGAAAAAGGTGGCAAAGCCAGTCGGACAGTCGTGGCTGAGAAGAGGGCGGCAATTGTGGAACCGGTTGAGGAACAATCTGAAGATGTGGCAATTTCAGGGTTGGGGAGCTCTCGTTCGTTCAAGAAAGTGTGGAAAGCTATCTGCCGGAAGTCCCTTGATTTGGTCTTTCTTTTAGAAACCAAAGTCTTCTGTGGGAAGGCCAAATCTGTTGTCAGATGTTTGGGGTTTACAAATTGTAGTTTTATTGTGGATTATGTCGGGTTAAAAGGAAGATTAATGCTTATATGGAAGGAAAATGTTTAAGTACAGCTGCTTAATTTTCAAGACCTCATATACATGTGGTTGTCACGAATAGTAAAGGAAAAACTTGGAGGTTTTTAGGAATCTATGGACAGCCAAATAGGGTTGATTGTAAGCAGACTTGGGAGTTGTTGAGGAGATTAAAGGATCTCTTTTATTTGCCTTGGCTCTCTGCGGGGGATTTTAATGAGATTCTCTGCTTTTCAGAGAAAAAATGAGGGAATGAGAAATCTTTAGCTTCTATGGCATAATTTTGATATGCGATTGAGGACTGTGGCCTATCGGATTTTGGTTTCATGGGGCCTTATCTTACATGGAATAGTCAGAGAGAAGACTCTGATAATGTAAAAGAGATATTAGATAGATTTTTAGCTAGTAAGGGTTAGAAAGATTTGTACCCTGATGCTATCAATCATCACCTTGACTTTTGACAATCGGATCATTGTGTTTTGCTATTGGAATTCTTCCATTTTCACCAACGAAAATTGAGACACGAGGATATCAACTTCAGATTTGAACCATAGTGGCTCAAAGACGAAGAGTGCAAGAATATTATCTCTAATTCTTGGTTGTTCAATCTTGGTGAGAGGGGGACTATTGATGGTGTCTTAGGTGGTTTAGAGAGATGTGTTTATGAGTTAGAGTTTTGGAGTTCAAATAAGTTTGGGAATTTACCTAGGAAAATTGCTTAAGTTAATGAGAATTTAGAAAAGTTGTATGTTGGTGATCTTACTTCGGAGGGTTGGAGGAGAATTCATGATCAGGATAATCAATTGGATAGATTATTAACTTTAGAAGAAGATTATTAGTAGCAAAGAGCTTGATCAGATAGCAGGAGATCAAAACACCAAGTTTTTTCATCTGCGAGCTTCAAGAAGGCACGGTAGAATTTAAATTAATAGGGTAGAGGATGACCAAGGAGTATGGCCTACGAGCAAACAGGATAACACAACCATTGTTAAAAATTATTTTAGATTGATTTTCTCTTCGGATAATCCATCAGATGCTGATATCGATTGGGTTACAGGCTTTGCAAGCCAAGTTGTTGATGTTGAGATGAATGTTAAGCTGAATAAGAAATTCTCAGCCCCAGAAGTGAAGAAAGCTTTGTTTCAGATGAGGAGTAATAAGGCACCCAACCCGGATAGTTTCTATGTGGCCTTTTTCCAACATAATTGGGATATCGTTGGTGTGGATGTTAACAGTGCTTGTCTTCATGTGCTTAACAGTGGTGAATCTTTAGAGGGTTGGAATTCTACACATATTTACTTGATCCTTAAGGTCAAATCTCTGAAGAAGGTGGCAGAATTTAGGCCCATTGGTCTATGTAATGTGGTATACAAAATTGTTACGAAGGTTTTAGCCAACTGGTTGAAGCATGTACTCGATAAAGTGATTTCAAAGAATCAAAGTGCTTTTGTCCCGGGTAGGTTAATCTCCGATAATGTTATCGTGACATTTGAATTAATGCAAGCCTTAAAAAGGAAGCATAATGGCAGCGAATGGTGGTTAGCTTTAAAGTTAGACATGAGTAAAGCATATGATTGTGTGGACTAGGATTTTTAGGAAAAGATAGAAAATGGGATTTTCAAATCGGTGGATCTCGCTGGTTCTGAATTGTATTTCATTTACGTAATTCTCCCTTTTAATTAATGGTGTTGCAATAGGGGGGATTCGGGCACAACGAGGATTAAGGCAAGGGTGTCATTTGTCCCCATATTTGTTTTTGTGCTGTGCAGAAGGTTTGTCAGCTGTAATTAAAGGGGCGAGGCTAGAGGAGATATCATTGGATTAGCATGCTCTTGATTTGGTACTAATGTTAGTCATTTATTCTTTACAGATGATAGCCTTCTGTTTTGTAAAGCAGATTTAGGGGTGTATGCAGGTTAAAAAAGTGTTGAGGTTGTACGAGTTGGCATTTGGTCAAAGTATTAACTTTCAGAAGTCTTCCATAACTTTTAGTCCAAATGTTTTAGAAGATACCCAGCTTGCAATTCAAGGGGTTTTAGGACCTAATTCGGTGCGTGCTCATGATCACTATTTGGGGCTGCCCACTTTGGTAGGGAAGAATAAGAAGTAGACTTTTCAACTTATCAAGGAAAGAGTGGGGAAGAAATTGCAACAATGGAAGGGGAAGTTATTTTCCTATTGTGGGAAGGAAGTCTTAATCAAAGTGGTAGTATTAGCTATTTCTAATTATACGATGAGTGTGTTTCGACTTCCGAGAGGTTTATGTAATGAGCTTCATCAACTAATTGCCTGATTTTGGTGGGGGGAGATGTATCAAAATGCACACTTCACTAGTGGTCGTGGGATAAGTTATACAAAGCAAAAATGGATTGTGGTCTTGGCTTTCAGGATTTAGAAGTTTTTAATCAAGTTATGTTCGCCAAGCAGTTGTCACACCCCGAAACCGGGGTTAGTAACGTGGAGGCTCGTTTAGAAGTTAAACGTGATTAAGAGAGTAATTAAACATTCAAAATTATAATAATAAAATTCAAAAGTAAAGTATTAAAGAAATTCCTAAACAAGCCTCCCGTTTAACTGAAAATATATTACAAGAAAGTGACGGGGTCTGCCGCACTTTCTGATTACAAAGAGGTTAAAACTTGAGCCTTTAATATCATTCAGGGCTTCACCCACAGGATATACATTATTCTACATACATGAACATGTAAATAACATTACAGACATCAACTACCTAGAAGTCCAAAGTTCAGAGTATACAGAATTTACAATTCTTACATTTGTATACAGGGATGATTATTACAATCTTCACTAAATCAGAGGGTAACAGTTATCTCAGCTATTCAACACTACTCCCAGCGTCGCCTAGGAGGGGTTTAATATTTATAGAACAAATAAAACATGAGCGAAAGGCCCGGTAGGATGTAATTGAAAATAACTTTATAAGCAAGTAAATGAATTAATGAATAAGTAAATAGATAAATAAAGATAGACATTCAGTTATAACACAACAGTCAGAACCTCACATCCTTTTTCTGAAAGGAATATAAACTGAAAATTCTGTATTACAGGCATCAGCAAGTAATTTATCCTCTAATAAATTACTTACACAACCACAAGCACAAGCCTTATCACCACCGTAGTGGCCCAGTCTAGGTTTCGAGTTCTGCCCCCAAGAATACACTCTCCATATCCTATTTAGGCCATTAGCTGGTTTATCAATTCGCATGATCTCTTATCTTAAGAAATCATTCATTAAACTTTTTGAAATAGTTCATTATAATTCGAATAGCTGAAATCAAGCTATTGTGTTAAAATACTTTTCTTTCGCAAACATACTCTTTCTTTAAAATATTTGTAAGGCCAACACTCTTTTAAAATCAGGCTAACAAAGAAAGGGATAAGAAATCCTACCTTTCAAGTACCAAACCTGTGGTTAGAATCGTGATATTCCGGCTTTTGCTTCCTTAAAGCCTTCAATTTGACTCCTCAACTAACATTGATACAAAATAACACTTTAGGATCTATTTCCCATTCCTAAAGTAAATCAATCTCAATTATACTTTTTGATTTCCTATTAGTGCACCTTAATCCAATTTCAAGTTCCATAAATCATTTTATATTTCAAATCATCATTCCAAGGGTTTTGATCTCAAAACATGGATTAAAGATGCTAATCTACCTATTTTAGGTCTCCAAATGAAGCTAATTTAGGTTGTCTTCACAAATTAGGGTCAAAATAGGGTTTTTCAACAAAACAGGGTTAAATCCCGTGTACACCGGTCGACCGGTGACAGAAGTGTGCATCACCACCGGTCGGCCGGTGGTGTGCAAACCGGTCGACCGGTGGAGAACAGCCATGCGAGAAGACTCACCGATCAGTCTGAAAACCTGCAAATCTGAGTAATCTGAGATATTTCAAAAGAAAACAACCAAATCCATGTTCCAAATAACAAATCAAGTCCAAAGAATAAAAAATCCCAAATTTCTACTGGGATTTTACTCAAAATCCATGAAAATTCATTTCGACCCAAAAATAAGTTTTCTAATCCGAAAAATTCGAGATTCAAGAGAGATTTTTTAGAAATCTTACCTCAAATCCTTCTCTTGACGTTGAAAACTTCTTGAAATTCTTCTTTGGTTCGAAATCCGGTTAATTTGAGACAAAAACGGGAGAGGGAGAGAGAGAAAGAAAGAGACATTAGTAGACTTGGGGCAGATTTACGAAATTCTTCTTTAGTTCGAAATCCGGTTAAATTTAGTTGTAATGCTAGTTTTATAAGTGTCGATATGGTTTTTTTAATGAAATTCATCTTCCCCTAAAAAAAAACAAAATGAGACATTAGTGGACTTGGGGCAGATTTACGAAATTACCCTTTACGATTTAAACGGGACAATTCAACTGTAGGAAAAAAACAGAGGTTTTTGTCAGTGCGGGAAGAGAGAGAAGGCAATGAGACGCAAAAGAAAGCTGCTGCTCAACATCACGCTTTAGATCTTTCTTCCTCTCCCACAGCGCACACGAGCGTCTTCTCTGAAATACACACACATATACATATATATACACACATATATATTTAAATATTTATATATTTATCTCTGTCAGTGAAACCCACTTCTTCTCTCTCTCTCTCTCTCTCTCTCTCCTCGTTCATCTCTCTATGATTATTAACGAACAGCTGGCGGAAGCGGTGCACTGAGTCAACTCGACCGAGTTATGGGCTGTTGCGCATCTTCCCTGCGGGGACCGAACGCCGACACCAGGAACCATCCCCACCAGCACCAGCAGGCACAGAACAATAACTCCTCCAACGGCACGGACGCCGCCGGAGGCTCGCCGGGATTCTCGGAGTTCTCGCTCGCCGACCTGAGAGCTGCCACCAACAACTTCAGCTCCGACTTCATCGTCTCCGAGAGCGGCGAGAAAGCCCCCAATGTCGTCTACAAGGGCCGCCTCCAGAACCAGAACAACAACCGCCGTTGGATCGCCGTCAAGAAATTCACCAAGCTCGCCTGGCCCGATCCCCAGCAATTCGCCGTACTCGCCTCGATTCTCGTTCATATTTTCCATTTTTCTAGGGTTTCGATTTAATCGAGGTTTCTCTGAATATGTTCAAATTTGTTCATTTCTCGTTTTGTAGGACGAAGCTAGGGGCGTTGGAAAGCTGAGGCACAAGAGGCTTGCGAATTTGATTGGCTATTGCTGCGACGGCGACGAGAGGCTTCTCGTTGCCGAGTACATGCCCAACGACACCCTTGCTAAGCATCTCTTCCATTGTAAGTTCGATAAGAATTAGGGTTTTGTTGGTTCAGTGGGTCCGGTAGGTAATCTATAGCCTGTGTATAAAATTTAATCTTCAAAAAGCTTTGCGAATATTGTAGTTTGTGAATTCGAAAGGAGAAACGTGATATAAATGAAGACTTACCTGTCATCGCATTTATTCAGTTATATTCGTTGCTATATTTTACTTTTTCACATTAAGTCCGTTGAAATTAATGATGTATAATAATTTCCAATTGTGGAACTTAGGAAGCTTTTAGAGTACTAATATGGTAGTAAAAGATTTCCTTTTGTAGAAACCTGAACAGAAAGGAAAGAAAAAATGTTGGTCATTGTGTATTAACTTTTGGGCTTAGCCATATCGGTTACAGAATATTGGTTATTCATCACTAATGTGCTTCTCAGAGTTTCTTGAAGTCTTTTTAGGAATAACTTTAATTTAAATTTTCTTGACAGGGGAGAATCAAACCATCGAGTGGGCCATGCGTTTAAGGGTTGCTTTGTCCATTGCTGAAGCTTTAGATTATTGCGGCACCGAAGGCCGTCCGTTGTACCATGATTTGAATGCATACAGAGTTCTCTTTGATGAGGTTCGTTGACAATTTATCTTTTATCAGTTTTGAACACTTCGACTTTGATTTTCAGTTAGTTGAAGTGGAATTGTTCTTGTGACGTATCTTTTTCAGTAGGGTTTGATAAGTTGATGGTTTCTAATGATGTTACAATACTTGGCGCTTGGCAGAATGGCGATCCCCGGCTTTCCTGTTTCGGATTGATGAAAAATAGTAGGGATGGAAAAAGTTATAGCACTAACCTTGCGTATACACCTCCCGAATATCTAAGAAATGGTACCTGTTTATCTTCGTTTGTATAGAACCTCTGGAATCTTATAATGGTGTGACAGTTTTCAGCAATTACGCATTCCTTTGAACTATCTTATGATATATGAAAGATATGATTGTAAAATATATGCTGCTCAATACTTACTACTAAGACGTGCGTTATCTTACTATTATAGGAAGGGTGACTCCAGAAAGTGTTGTATTCAGCTTTGGGACTGTCCTTTTGGATCTTCTCAGTGGAAAGCACATCCCTCCAAGTCATGTAAGCTTATTTTTCGTTTTTTCATTTGTTGATATTTATGTAGTTCATCTATGGTATTTTACATTTAAATTTGTTCTGCCAATTTGGTCATGCAAGTTGTTTTACTCAATTACTTGTGTTGCACCTTGTGTCGTGCATAGCTTTTTGATCTTGTGTACTTAAAAACTCTCGCCATTAGTTTTGCTCAGAATTGATGCATGATTGGGGAAAAAAATTTACTAGACAGGAAAAACTAATACTTCCAACTTTAAGATTTACAAGATGTGATCACGTCTTACTCTCTCTCTCTCTCTCTCTCACTCACTCACTTTAACTAGTGGGTTCATTAAGAGTCGACTAAGTTGTCTGCCATGGTGTAGTGATGTGGTTTTGCTAATTTGGTAATGGTGCAGGCTCTCGATATGATACGGGGGAAAAACATTCTTCTCCTAATGGATTCACACTTGGAAGGAAATTTTTCAACTGAAGAGGCAACGGTGGTGTTTGAGCTTGCTTCACGTTGCTTGCAGTATGAACCTAGGGAGCGGCCAAATACTAAAGAACTTGTTGCAACACTTGCCCCGTTGCAAAATAAACCTGATGTAAGGTTTTTGGATATTCTTTTTATTGGCGCAACTGTTGAATGTTCTTGATTTCTTAAGATATGGTACTAATTAGCATCCTGTGATGAATATATATTTCTTTTGTAGGTTCCATCTTATTTGATGCTTGGGATTCCAAAGCATGAGGAAGCACCTCCTACACCACAACACCCTCTCTCTGCAATGGGTGATGCCTGTTCACGGATGGACCTAACAGCCATACACCAGATTTTGGTAATGACGCACTACAAAGATGATGAAGGAACCAATGAGGTAAATAAATAATTGCTCTAGTGTGGTGGTTCTGAGGACTATTTCTAGTACGGTACTAAAAAATTGTTCTGTTGCAGTTGTCTTTCCAAGAATGGACCCAACAGATGAGAGATATGTTGGAGGCAAGGAAGCGTGGGGACCTGGCATTCCGTGACAAGGATTTCAAAACAGCAATAGACTGTTATTCTCAGGTTTGTGCTATGTCGTCAATTACGTGTATGCAGCGTGCAAACTGTTGGGATGCACCATATGTAACACCCCACCTTCTTTACATTGAAGATAGTGGAAGAATTGAATTTTAATTGAATTTCTCATTTGTATTTGCAGTTCATAGATGTGGGAACCATGGTTTCTCCGACTGTTTATGCAAGACGGAGCCTCTGTCATCTCCTTTGTGATCAACCGGATGCTGCTCTTAGAGATGCCATGCAGGCGCAGTGTGTGTATCCTGACTGGTCCACAGCATTTTACATGCAGGCAGTTGCCCTTGCCAAGCTAGACATGCACAAGGATGCAGCTGACATGTTGAACGAGGCTGCGGCATTGGAAGAAAAGAAGCAACGTGGTGGGAGAGCGTCTTGAGAAGCATAATCCTGTATATCTTTTTTGTTTATTGTTCTTGTTTAAAAAATCATAATTGGCAGTCAAGCATTTGATATACTCAAGTGGTTGCCATTGTTCTTGTTGTAACGAAAAAAAAAAAAAAAAGTGGGGTTCCTGTACCATAGGAAATGTTAGGTATCGCGTATCATTGGGGGAATTTGTGGCGTTGACGAAGATGTATCATAGGGAGAAGACACTTGTTTATTGTGCATCAACTTCATGCTATTTTTTTTTCTTCAATTTGAATGAATTTCATGAAATAATTAATTGGTTCTTGACGTGTACATGTGTTATGATACTTATAATACAAACATGATTTCACTACATGCATCAGCACAATAAGATACAATCATGAAATCACGAGACATATAGCTCAGCTTTTCCATCAATGAAGAGGCTCATGAATTCTTCCCCATCAACGGTTTCTTTCTCTATGAGAAGTAGAGCAAGTTTGTGAAGGATATCGATGTGGGTTGTGAGGATCTGCTTGGCCCGTGAGTATGCTGTTTCTACCAGCTCCCTGACCTCTGCATCCACAACATCGGCCGTTGCCATTGAGTAGTCTTTCTGGGATGACATCTGCGTATTAAACACAACAAAAGTTGCACTTTAGGCATATAAATTTATAATACATCATAAAGTAAAAGTGAATGCAATTTGAAAAACAGCAAAAGGAGACTCCATAGGAAGTTTCTTATATATAAGCAGTTCTTTACCTGCTGACCCAAAAAGGGATTTCCTCCAGGACCTCCAATAGCAACTTGTCCAATCTTTTTGCTGAACCCAAATCTTTCAACCATCTGCCTCGCCACCCGTGAAACTTGCATGAAGTCGTTTGATGCCCCTGTCGTCACATTGTCCTCGCCGAAAATCACCTCCTCAGCAACCCTGAACCGTCAACCAAAAGTGTGAATGATCGTCATCCCAAAAGCGTTACTTGATTAGAGAAAGTTGAGACAGCCATTTAAACATTTAATTATGACATCAACACAAGTATCAGTCTGTTAGCCTACCTTCCACCAAGGGCCACTGCCATCTGATTCTCCAGGTAGCTTCTGCTGTATAATCCAGACTCGAGCCTCTCTTCACTTGGAGCAAAGAAGGTAAGACCACCAGCTTGCCCTCTCGGAATGATGGATATCTTTGCCACAGGATCATATTCTGGCATCAATGCACCAACCAAAGCGTGCCCAGCCTCTGAAAATGAAACGCACAACTATGGTAAGTAATAATAGACTATAAAAGAACTGAGAATGGGGAGAACTTCCACAGATTGTTACTATACCATGGTAGGCAACTAATTTCTTCTTCTCCTCGGAGACGACGGCATTTTTCTTCTCCGGTCCAGCAATTATACGCTCCAGAGCATCGGATATCTCATCTTTGCTTATTTCCTTAAGATCACGCCTCGCAGCAAGAATGGCAGCTTCATTCATCAGGTTCTGCAAATCAGCTCCAGTGAAACCTGGTGTTCTCCTCGCAATCTTCTCAAAGTCCACATCTTTTGCAAGTGCTTTTCCTCTTGAGTGCACCTGGAAACCACGATTGCTCGTTGAGAGATCAGTTGAGAGATCAGGAGATTGATAATACAAATTCTTCAGATATTAATCTTGCAAAAAATACTCTTCACATGCATAAATCATCACATTTGGTGTTCTTGAATGTCAATGCCTTTTTGTTTATCTTGAACCAACCCAAACAAAAGCTTAAACCCTTTAAGCACGATTTCTCCTATTATTAAGTTTTAACCCATTTCAATGCATTGTAGAATCCAGTATAAATTTCTGCATAATTATCTAACTATGTTCCTCATCTTAGCCTTAAGGGCCTTGAATTGTTAACAACTAAATATATTGGAAAAGAGACACAAAAAGCTTCTCGCTAAAGTTTGCATACATCATAACTAGCATACTAAGTAGTAGACAACTCACAACAGCATCCAATACCCTTTTTTTACGTTGAAGAACAATAACTTTCAATGATGAGCTAACCTATAGGAAAGCTTTAGTCTTTCACCATGACTTATTGTATGTGTAAATTTTAAACAACTTCAATAACATTTCAGCTTAATTATCTACCCATCTTTCTCATCTACTAAAATCAAATCCTGGAATTAAAGACCCTGAAATCTCAATTAGTATAGATATATATAGTAAAAGCGACACAAAAAGCTTAAATCCTTGACCGTGATTCTAGAAATCAAACATCACACTTGTGCTTAATCATCTACCTATATTCCTCATCTAAGACTTAAGGGCCTTGAATTGTTAAATAACTACATACATGGTAAACCAGACATAAGCTTAATCACTGAAGCTTTCTTGCATTAAAAATCTCACCTGAAGGATCTTAACTCTACCAGCAACATCAGGCCTGTCCACAGTAACCTGACGGTCGAACCTCCCCGGCCGCAGCAGCGCGGAATCAAGAACATCAGGCCTGTTAGTGGCGGCCAACACAATGACACCCGAATTCCCCGAAAACCCATCCATCTCCGTCAAGAGCTGGTTAATAGTCTGCTCTCTCTCATCATTCCCACCTCCAAGACCAGCCCCTCTCTGCCTCCCCACGGCATCAATCTCATCAATGAACACAATGCACGGCGCTTTCGACTTCGCCTTCTCGAACAAATCCCTCACTCTCGACGCCCCAACTCCCACAAACAACTCCACAAACTCCGAAGCCGCGCACGAGAAGAACGGCACTCCGGCTTCTCCGGCCACCGCCCGGGCCAAAAGAGTCTTTCCGGTACCTGGCGGGCCCACAAGAAGACAACCCTTGGGGATTTTAGCTCCAAGAGCCGTGTACTTATCCGGATTCTTCAAGAAATCAACCACTTCTTGTAATTCAAGCTTGGCCTGGTCAGCTCCGGCGACGTCCGCGAAAGTTACGCCGGTTTCTGGAACTTCCTGGAACTTAGATTTCGACCTCCCGAAGTCCATCGGCCCACCAAGCCCACCCGGCCCACCGGGCCCGCCCTGGGCCCGGCGGAAGAGGAAGAAGAGCCCGGCGAAGGCGAGGAAAGGGAAGAGCAAATTGCCGATGAAATTGAACAGGCCATTGCCGGAGTCGCCCTCCGAGACGGAAATGTCGACGCCGTTCATGGCCAGGATGTCGATGAGGTCAGGGTCGTTGGGGACGATGACGGTGGCGCGGCGGCCGTCGACGGCGGTGAGCTGGAGGCCAGAACCGTCCTTGCTGAATCTGACCCTCTCGACCTTGCCCTTTTTTACGGCGCTGAGGAACTCGCTGTACCGCCATTGGCTTCCCTCCGGGAGATCAGAAACGTTTCGGGATTCGGGTTTCGGGGCTGTGAGGAGGAGGTTTTGGCCGAACGGCGAAGACGACGACTCCGATTGGCTCGGCCGGGCTTGGAGCACCGGAGGCGTGGTGGTTTGGGGAGGAGGGTTTGGGGCGTCCAAAGCTAGGGCTTGTGGGGCAAGAGAAGAGAACAGAAGAGTGGCTAAAGTGGCTTTGGTTTGGATGGAGTTCTTGGAGGGTTTCGAATCGGGTTTCTTGTCGAGAACGTTTCTAGCAATGAGAAACTTTCTAGTCGAGAACGTTTTAGGAGTGGGAGGAGAGAGAAGGGTTTTAGTGCCGAAGAAATTGGAAGAGAGCAAAGGGTTGGTGATGGTTGAAGAAGCCATGGCTTTGGCTCGGAGTCAGTATTTTCCACTTCTTTTTTTTCTTTATTAAAATGGAGGAGCTGAGCTTCTTACACACACCCAATCCTGAAACGCAACCTTTGATAACAGATAGAAAATGAATATGAAAATAATATTTATATATATTAAGTGGGAACAGAGAAAAATAGAATAGTGATTTATTTCGTGTGAAATGTGGAAATTAGTGGCTTGATTTTTGTTGTTTTTTCACTAAAATTTTGATTTGGGAATGGGGAGATATATTCGAACAAGTTGCTCCATCCCATGCCATAGATTTCTAGTGTTGCATGGATCGTATCCACGTGTTCTGCCCTGTTTCCAGTCATTTTATCTTTTTTCTGTTTGATTTTTATGTTCCATATAAAACGACCGACGTTGCTTGGAAGGAATTAGAACGACAATATATATTTTGTAAAACAACAATAAGAATTAGAACGACAATAAACTGGTGACGATCAGAGGAAAACGACAACGAAACTGGGGAACTGAAAAAACGACAAGAAAGTTCGAACTGACGATAAGCTTGACGACATAGACATAAATTTGAAGCGACAACGAGAAGGAACAAGACAATAGAGAAGAGATGGGAAAATGGCCTTAAACAAACGAAGGAGCGAAAATTATCGTAGGCTATGGAAAATAATATTCTTTTAGACTCTCAGATTTTTAAAAGGTTTGGTTGTGCTATCATATTTTATTTGGTTTAATACTCTTCTGATTTAGTGTGCGATGGTTAAAAATTATACTTAGATTTAATGTAATCGTCAGAACTTACGACTTAACGATAGGATATTTTTTCATACCCTTTCGAAGTTTTTTTCTTTTTTTTTTCTTTTTTTTTTCGGTTGAGCAAGGTGAGAGCTTTGATTATATTTCCACTAAATTTTGATGAGTTTGGTTGGTTGTTTGGGGTTGTTTGGGTCTGGTTGGTTACTTATAAATTCATTCAAAAGTCACATCAAAAAGCAGGATTTTTAAGGGACTCATAATCTTGTTGTCTTATGCAGTAAACGAGAAAACCATGCTGAGAAAAACATTGAGTTTCATATTTCGAAAATAAAAATTTACAATAGATTTGATGTTTAAGAAGAAGAAAAAGGCCGTCCTTCTCTTTTAAATCTCCAAAAATGCTCTCTCAAAGAACTTTAGCATGTTTGGTTTATAGATTAGAATCATGAGATTAAAACCATTTTCGATTTACGTGTGTTTTTTGTGAGAGAAAATATTATAACAAATTATGAACCATGATTCGAATCAGAGAACGAATCCTCCAACCAAACGAGCTCCACATATTGTATACTAATGCTAACTGCGTCCCACATTACTAAGGTATTAGACGACAGCTTTAGCTTAGATACTTTATATATTCACATGCACACAAAATGGGGGCTCAAGCCAATTTAAGTTTTAGGGAGATATATTCTATTGTATAATAATAGTATATATACATAGCCACTTCTAAAATTTAACTTGATTATTTTGATAAAAACATCTTGAGAATCAGTTTTAATACATATAATTCTTCTTTGGCAAAAGTGATGCACAAAATTCTCGACGATATAAGGGATTGTCAATGTCACTAGAATACACTATCAATAATGACTTTCTCAACAACAAGTCACCGGAACGCAGCAAATAGCAGCCAATAGCGGATGGAGAGATATCTCCCAAATGAATCCTCTTATGGCACTCCTCCTGAGTTGCCAACTAGTCTTGATGAGTATATATATATATATTTTTTTTTCAATTCACTTATGAATAATTGTGATTAAATGAAAAAAATAATAATAATTCAGTTTCATTTGTAATCATTCTCGTGTTTAGATTTGATGTGTATTGTATGTCTGTTATTTTTTTATGGATGTCTTTTGTTTTTCATGTTTTGTTGCTTAACGTTATTGTCGTATCTTCAGTTTATGTGGTTTATGAAAGTCGTCTTTGTGGTTTCTCAAGATCATGTCACTTATAAATTTCTTCTTGGTTTTTTTAGACGTCGTTTTATTATTATTCTGTGGTCGTTAGTATAAGTAACTATCGTTTCTTTGTTGTATGTTTGTTTTCCAATCTGATTTTTTTCGTAAATTATTCTCGTCTATATGGTTTATTCTTCTTTTGGTTCATGTTATTGTCGGTTGTTTTGTAAAGTTTCTATCGCTGATGTTGTTTCTCTATTTGTTGTTTTTTTTTTCATTGTCGTTTTTGAGATTTCACAATTATTGTTATTGTCGTACAGTCAGTTTATGTCGTTTAACAAAGTCAACCTCCTTTTCTCTCTCTCTCTCTCTCTCTCTCTTTTTTTTTTTTTTTTTTGTCTTTTTAATTGATGAAGAATTATCGTTGTTTGTTTCCACAGTTTAAGTAATGATGTGTTTCTTCAATTCACGTTGTTTCTACCGTTAATGTGCCTTCAGCTTATTGGTTCCTCCCGTTATTAATGTATTCATGTCTTTAGCATAGTCAAGCACATATCAAAAATTTTCTTCCAATCATGATTCCAAACTCACAATTAACTAAGGCTCCGTTCATTTCACCGATTTGAATTTAGAATTTAAGTAAAAAATTCTCAAAAACAGTCGCATTTAACTTTTTTGTTACAATAAAAAACTATCACATAAAATCACATTTCAACTTGAATTAAAAACTTAAATCAGCAAACTAAACGGGTCCTAAATGTGTTTTGAAAGTTCAAAAACATGAGAATTGCACGTCAACACTTCTAAACAAGGATCAAGACCAACAAAGACATCAAAATGGCACTAGTGAAACAAGTATAGGAGAGGAATTTTTTTGTTTTTTTTTTTGTTTTATCCCCTAAAGAAGTATAGAAGAGGAATTTGAATGCGTCTTTAGGCGTTTAATGAAAACCAGAGTTTCCCTTCTCAACACTTTCGACTATATTTAGTAACTAATGTCCTCATCAAAGTAAGGATTTTTTCGGTGCAAACTTGTATCATACAGATTTTTTGTCTCATTGTATATATATACTAAGGATCCGTTTAGTTCGTTGATTCGAGTTGAGATGAGACTTTATATGAAAATTTTTTATTGTAGTAAAAAAATTAGATGTAACTATTTCTAAATTTTTTTTTACTACCAACTCAATCTCATTAGAGTGTAAACTTCCCTCAATTTTTAAAGCACTTAAACCTCGATAATCGAACTGTAAATAACTTTTTATTTTTTGTTGAAAAAACAAACAGTTACTTTGACTAATTCTGTGAAGTTCAAAGAAAACAAAAAAAAAAATCATGTCACTTATAAATTAGATGACATTTAAAATCATATCAATATGTCACTTATAAATTAGATGACAAAAAAAAATCATGTCACTTATAAAAAATCAGTTACTTTGACTAATTTTGTCGTATCTTCAGTTTATGTGGTTTATGAAAGTCGTCATATGTTTTTTTGTAGTTTCTCAAGATCATGTCACTTATAAATTTCTTCTTGGTTTTTTTAGACGTCGTTTTATTATTATTTTGTGATTGTTAGTATAAGTAACTATCGTTTCTTTGTTGTATCGTTTCTATAATAAAAAAATTAGATGTGACTGTTTCAATAAAAATTCGAATTCTAAACTCAAATCGGTAAAATAAACAGAACCTAACATAAAAAACACCAACTCAATTTCATTAGAGTGTAAACTTCCCTCAATTTTTAAAGCACTTGAATCTGTAAATAACTTTTTTTTTTGTTGAAAAAACAAACAGTTACTTTGACTAATTCTGTGAAGTTCAAAGAAAAAAAAAAAAATGAATGTCGGACGTGCTACCTTCTAGCACTGCGACGTTAGTTTATGGAGAAAATATAAAACGAATTGGTCTATTAAACTTCTGGTAAGATATTAAAAAAAAAAAAGGGACATGAAAAGAAGATTCCATAGAAAGCAGATTAAAAATCCTGAACGTTGCCTCCATTATAATTATATTTCCTTTCATGAATCTGTCCCGCATCCAACGCGGAAGTACTCGTAGTTACTATAATAAACTATAAAGCAGCCCGATAAATAATAAGAATACGACGTCAAAACTTTTAAACGACACTAAAAAAGTAAAACGACATCAAAACTAAAAGAAGAACCGGCAACCGATTAAATTCTAAAACAAAATAATAATGGTCAACGATAATAGTAAAGCAAATGACAGCCATCCGAACGACAAGAAATACTTTACACGCCAATAAACCACATAAACAGTTTTAACGGTATGAAAAGGTAAACAAATAAAATAAAATACAAAAAGGAGAACGACAATCAAAAGTGGAAATGAACGATGATAAATTAGTGCAGCGTATGTTAAAGCCTTGCGACGACAAACTAAGGGGGTGTGTTTAGTTGGTGCATTCGTGTCATAATTTGAATAATGATTCGTGATTCGTTATAGTATTTTTCTTATAAAAAAATACACATAAATTAAGAATGATTCTGAATCATGACTTTAAATTTATGAACCAAACGTTCACTAAAATACTTTTAAAAAGAACGTACGATCGGAAAAATAAAAGAGAGAAATGTTGAATCAGGAAGAAAATTCAGAACCTTTCAAGATAATCATTTATCAAAATTTTCAACCTCTTTCCAAAAGCAGAAGATAAGTAAACAAAGGAGCTCTCAAGATGTAAAACATGAAAGAAAATTGCTGATTGTGCACCGTGGAAATTGGAATGCAACTGAGGGGGAGACCCCACACCTTTGAATTATGATTAGCCTGACAAATTCCGTTTTCTTATTGGGCCTCTTGGTTTCCCTCTAAAGGGCTTGAGAAATATCGAAGGGAAAAAGAGGAAAATAGATCAAGATTTGAGATAAATTAAAATTATAAAGAAAGAGAGAAATAAGTTAAGACTTAAGATGAATTAAAATTAATAGGCTAATAGTTTACATAAGTTAATAAATAAATCAAATTATTGTTTTTATCCATAACTTATTTAGTTATAAACCATAACTTGACAGAATATTATCCATAATTTACGGTTTTTGTCCATAACTTGTCTGACTATGAACCATAACTTGACAAATTATGGCCTATTAATTTCTATAACTAAAAATTGACCTATATACTTTCTTAAGCTTTTCATATTGGCTTATTTTCGTTAAAATTAATAGGCCAATAGTTTACATAAGTTAATATATAGACCAAATTACTATTTTTGTCTATAACTTGTCTAGTTATAAACCATAACTTGACAAGTTATTGTCCATTTTTATCCATAATTTATCTGACTATGAACCATAACTTGACAAATTTATTCATAATTTATCTTATTATGAACCATAACTTAATAAATTATGACATATTAATTTTTATAATTAAAAATTAACCTATATACTTTCTTAAACTTTTCATATTCACATATTTTCTGCTCTTTCCGAAAATATCGAATATCAAATAACTGGGCCAAAGAGGTAGGGAAGAAAACGCGGTTTGCCCAAAATCAGAAATTAAGTAGGGCCCACCAGTCTGATTTTTCAAAAAGATGTTAAAAGCGACTAATCACCAACCAAACAAAAGTCTAAAGACGGCCACCACTTTTCATTCCAGCTCCACAAGGAGAGGAGAAAAGATAGTTGTGTCTGTCTTCAGTTCTCAATAAAAGGAATGGTCACACATAATGTATTAGTTGAGGACTTGACATATATTTATTGTAGATATAATATCGATTTAGAGTATTATCAATTAAAAACACTCATATTTTTCACCGTCAATTTGCATCACATTTTATTAGTTTTACATTTTTATTTTTTCTTTTAATCTGATTTCGCTTAGATTCAATCTTGAGAAACACAACTACCAAAAATAAATAAATAAATAAACAATGATGATAATTATAATATTGGACTTTTTTTTGTAATTCTTACAAAATTAGACCACCGGTAGTCTGTTATTTTTTAACCGTTAGATCTGAATTAGAATCTGTCTATTTTGTATATTTTTTTAATCTGAAATGATTTTAACCATATTCAACTGTAAAAAATTAAGACTGCCGATAGAACAGACTACAAACTCTCTTAGAATTTTGCAATACTCATTTTAGGACAACACGATTCATGTCGTGAGGCTCAAGGAAACTAGGGCCATCAATATGGGTCACGACACGACTCGAAAACGACACGAATTTTGCGGGTTAGGGTTGAGAAAAAAGAGGTTCGGGTCAGAATTGGGTCGACCTGAAATTGACACGAAAAATATGGGTCAATTTCGGGTTGGACCCGCCTAACCCGAACACGACACGAAACTCGTAAAAAACTAAAAAATACATATATTTTTCATTTCATATTTTAAATTTTATTATGAACTTGTGATATCATGATAGTTATACTCAAAATCTTATACTATTATTTGCTTAATTTCAATGGATGTTATTGTAATTTAGTGTGTTATGAATTTTAAGTTATTTCTAATATGTAAAAAACTAAATAAAAGTATACAATTTTCGTGTCAATTTCGGGTTCACGGGTCAATTTCGTGTCACGGGTCATTTTCGGGTCATGTCGTGTCAGCTCGTAAAGTGGTCGTGTCGTGTTCGTGTCGCAGTTTTTAAAAAATTTCGTGTCACGGGTCGTGTTCGGGTTGACTAAAAATTTAAAAAAAATGATCAAAACACGACACGAACACGACACGTGACACGAATTGCCACCCCTAAAGAAAACCAAAGACAGCTAGTTGGAGTTGAGGGGACCACTTGGACAAGTTGAAAAGGCCATTTGCACATGCCACTTTCAACCGTAGAAACTAGAAACTCTTTGCGGAAGGCGTTTCCCATGTCCATTCATATCGTTTCTATTTCGGGCCACACAAATTAATAGACAATAATCATCATATATACTAAATAAAGAACACCTTAATTTAAAAGTAAATTTACACAAAAGTACCCAATCGATAGGCAAATTACACAAAAGTAGTACTTAGAGATATCTTTATCGTCCAAATGGTATGTAGACAGTAGAAGTGCCGAACATGCAAACTGCCAAGGAATGGTGTTAATTTCTACGTTGTGGATAATGTTCATGAATTTGAACAAAAAGTTTTCACAAATATTCAATTTTTTTGTGAGATATAAAACATATTAGTTAAAAATTTTAAATTGTAGTTCAAACTTTGAATCTAATAACACAATATACAATGATAAATAAATAAGACTGCTACTGACCGAGCCGTTCCTCACTACTTGCACATATAAACAAGAAAGTTTTACAAAAAGAGAAATTTTACACTAAATTAATTTCTATTTCTTTACCGGCAAGTTGACGTACTAGAATGGACAAACCTGGCAACGCCATGTCAGAATCTGTAGACGTGCTTCTACAGCTAAAATTTATAAACTCAAGTTAATATTAGATTTATATGATATTGGGCCTTTGTTCATCGTTATTATCCGCATTTAAGCCATAGAACCAGGCTTCATGGAAAACCTTTGAACTGAAAACAAACTGAGCACAATCATAAAAAATAATCAAATAAAGCATCAAAAACATAAAACAAATAAAGTAAATGAGACTGAGATATATAGTGGTTCATGAGAGCTACGTCTACTGTGTTCTTCACTATAAGGATGACGTTGACACAAAACTCAGAATTACACTGCTCTCCTCCCCTGAATTACTCTCTGAAAATAAAAATACAAGCCTAGGCGTCGTAACCCCTTTCTTGGAGGTCTTTCCACTTATTTATAGACCCCTTTCCCCTCTCAACTTCTCTAGTTGTGGGCCTTCACCACTACTACCCAAGACGTGCGTAGTGGGCCTTTCATGTTTCAACGCGTGTCAGAGCATGTCCGATGCCTTCACGATCGCCACCTCCGGCTCCGGCGCCGTGTTGCTCGCCACCTTCGCGATCCCGATGCTCGTCTGGTCCTTCACCGCCCTGATCACCTTCCGAATCGTCATCGGCGCCATCTTCACCTTTTTCTTTCTTTTTTTTTATTTTTTAATTACCGACTCTCCTGCTAAGCTCGAAAACTAGAGTCGAAGTGTGGTTGAAAATTAAAAGCTAGCTGTCTACTAAGGGACAATAGGTTGGATTTGGGTGTGTGGCTTATTAACTTAAACTGTGATGGACAATTGGCATTGATCTAGTCGTTGACGTGTGTGTGGGAAACAATATTATATATAATATAATATTCATGCTTCTCGGGTGGGCTCGGCTTACCCGACCGGACTCGGGCAATCAAAACAGGCCCGCGGCTCGTCTATGGACCTTCTCGGGCTCGGACAGGCGGCTCGAAATATTTGGGCCAGTGGGCTCAAGCGTCGGGCTCAAAATCGGTTTTTTCAGGCGGTCCCGTCTAAAGATTCAAAACTAGCTGAACCTAAGACGTCCCAGAGATTTCGCTTCTAGTCTGATAGGCTCGGCAGTGCTTAACCGATCGAATGTTTGGGTTTGACTAGAAATTTGAGTTCAATCTGAGACTTGGGCACAATCACACGCTTGGACTTAGACTATGGCCAAATCTGACACCAACAGAATCTCCCCCTTTGTTTTTTTTTTTCGTCATCAAGGGAAGTCCACCTAATTTTCCTAGTAGAAGATATATATAAAAAAAAATTTGCATATATACATATATAAAATACAAAAATATGCGAAGGAAGAAATCCTCAATCACATATTTTTCTGAACAAAAGCAACCCATATTATTCCACCACTGCTAGCTGCTGATCACTTTTAAACTTTGTTTTGTTGTGCCTTGTCCGTTTAACGAGCAATATTTGTCTGCAAAGATGCATTCAGCTCCACTTGTTCCGCCTCCCACTTTGCCTTTGCGACCACTCCAACGTGCATTGGAACGTACTCCTACGAAAAGACAATACACGCGTTTAAAACTCGTTCTAAAACGATTTTATTTTTTGTATGAACATAAAAATGAAAACGTTTTTAATTTCAAATAGAAATAATTTTTAAAAATGCATTTGATAGTTTTATCAAGAAATTATTTTTAGTATAAAAAAATTTATTAATGTCTCTATCTCTGCTCGAGAGATGAGAAAACGAAAATAAAAAATAAAAAACGACTAAAAGTCATTTTTTTATTTCTCTCTCATTTTATACTAAACCAAAAAATTATTTTTATTTCCGTTTTAGGTCTTTATTGCGCCAAATGACGTTTTAAAAACGTTTTTTTTTTAAACGTAAAAAATAAAAACGAGATCAATTCTTAACATGGCCAATGTTCTTTACTAAAATTTAAAATAAAAGGCCTAAAAAGCACATACAAAAGGAAGGAAATTGCCCAATATCCTTTACAGAAACTCATACGCACCTCTAACTTTTGAACAAGTTCGCGCGCATTAGAAGCGGAGACCATTATATTACGCTGAGAAGGCAAGATAAAGCCGTCGTTCACTGCTTGGTCTATGAAGGTGAGTAGACAATTGTAATAGCCCTCAACATTTAGCAAACCCACCTAGTGAATTAATACACATATATTATTTATTAATTATAGATTAATATAGATGATTGAGAAAATAAGCTATCAAAATCTTTAAGCCACAGTTAAGAGACATGAAGTAGCTTTACAGGCTTGTCGTGGATTCCAAGCTGGGCCCACGTAATGACTTCTAATAACTCTTCCAAAGTTCCATAGCCACCTAAAAATTTTATATAATTACACTAATTTTAGATAAGAATAGAATATGGAATAATTACCCATCATATATTAAGAGAGAGAGAGAGAGAGAGAGAGAGAGAGAGAGAGAGAGAGAGAGGACCTGGAAGAGCAATGAAACAGTCAGAATGGCGGGCCATCTCAGCTTTCCTTTGGTGCATGTCTGCTACTGCTCTGACCTCTCCTATTGTTTCCCCAGTTATCTGCTAATTATTAATCAACATTATTAATAAAAATTTATAATGCACATATTATTATACATATATCACATCAACAAATTGTTTGTTTCATTATTATAACCACATATATAAAATAAAATAAAAGTACTGTTGATTCTCAAGAGGAAGAGAAATTAAAGTTGGGAAAAACCAGCACAAACCTCTTTACGCATCAGAGTTTTGGGGATGATTCTGTGACCATTAGAGAGCAAAAGAACCCACAGTCAAAGAGACGTTTTTCAATTTATCTTAGGAAAAAATGAGCTTAATGTATAACCCCATTATTAAAGCCCAATGTCATGACTTAATCATGGTATCTAAAATCAATTGCCAATATATATTTATATATATATATATATATAATACACGTACACGTACATACAAAACCTTATACGTATGCGTACCCGAGTACATGACCACCACCACGATGGACCTCCTGAGAAACCAAGCCCATTAGTCCAATACTCCCCCCTCCATAAACGAGGTCTAACTTCCTTGAAACCTTCAAAAAATTTGTTTTTTTTTTTTTAAAGAAATTAATTAACCCACAGAAAAACTTACTGTGCATGACAAGCCAAATTTTTGAAAGCGAAATTTCTAGTTCTTAATCACCAATTTGTTTTTTCTTTACCCATGCATGGATAGTTAAAGTTTCAATTTAAGAACTAGGAATTTTGCTCTATCATCATTTTTTTAATCAAAATATACGTGTATACCTATATATATATATATAGACACACACAAATACACATACCAGCTCTTGGCCGAGTTCAAGAGCAGCATCACGGTAGCAATTTCTTTTGCCAGAACTGCTTCCACAGAAAACACAAACCCTTTTGAACCTTGACTTCAAAATCTTCTCCTCCATCTCTCTCTCTCTGCGGTTTTTTTTTTAACTTTTTTTTTTTTTTTCTTTTTCGTATTTGCTTACTTGGCCTTTGAAGATTGTTCAAATGATTTTTTTATTTTTTTATTTTTTTTATTCAAGTGAGAGGTGAGAAATACCAAAACAAGAACGAAGCAATAGGCATATTTATATACGAATATTAAAACCCAATATAATCAGAGAGAACAGGGATATCCTTTCATTAAGGAAATCCGGTAGTGCCACGTGGACAGAAGCCGGAGCACTTCTCTTTGTCAAATTCGCCGACAGGATTCTGTTATCTCCACCAATCCTCATTTTTTCTCTTCTTATCCACTTCTAGTTTTCACACTTTTTGCGTTATTTCGCCCCCCACAACTTTGGTAATAAACCGACACGGCAATTTGCTTCCTAATTACGTCACTCATGTGTAGTAAACAGATACTAATTTATATAAACTTCCATAAAAAAAGATACTAGTTTATAAATAAATAAATATAATGACTTAAAAATTTCTTGGTTAAAGTCACCTAATTATTTAATTCAATGAACTAATTAAGTGAAAAAAAGGAGATTAAAGAAAATATTTTACTTCTATTGCATTTATTTTTTACAATCAAATCATATAAGAACAAATTAATTAAAAATATAAAATTGACAGTAATTTGGTAAAAATCTGTCCGTCCAATATTATGTGTACGTATATTAATTTGGAGTACTAATGTTTCAAGTGGTACGTTTTCATATGCAGCTAATTTCACGCTGTTGATTGAGTTAATAATTCGTATCCAGATTCTTTGTCTGATTTTTAATATCTCAATTCATATCTAACTAATTTAAACCCGTTTAGATGGATAATCGTTAAGTGTTTTTGGGTTTTAAAGCACTTTTAGAACAAATCATCTCCTTATAGTGCTTATGAAAAGAATTTTTATTTATATTTTTAACTTTTTATTTGTGAACAACAAATTAAATATTTCATATATATCATTTTATTACATTACTTTTTATAATAATAAATGCTTTTAATTTTTACATATTCAAAAGCTCTTCTTAGATATAAAAGTATTTTTTCAGTCAATATCCAAACACTAATTAAAAAGTCTAAATTTATGCTTATTTCTTTCTACTATTTAAAAGTACAAGCACAAACTATCCCAAACATACCCTTAATTTCCTTTTTAAACTTCATTACATGTGCATAATAAATTGAAATGGATATGTATGTTTTTTTCCTTTCACTAATCGGGATTTAGTCTTCATCTAGGAGTAAAAAAAAAAAAGAAAAAAAAAAAAAACTGCTACAAAGTGTCCAATAGAGAAACAAAGAAAGAAGCGTATGGGAAATAAAGACGGACGTGCTTGACCGCTGATAACATATGAAAAGCTAAAAGCCATTGTCGTTTCTTTTGTAGATTACTTCTAAGACTTCCTCCCTAGCCACAGACAAACCCGGAATTGGTAAGGAATATTAAAGACTAGTTCCCATGTTGTTTGAATTTATGATCCATTGAACATTATCATTTATAATTACTTCTTTTGTTGTCTTTGCTGTTGGTTGAAATCACTTATTTGATGAAATTTATTAGAAAAAAGAAGATAAATATCTCTTAAAGTACGTACGTCTGAATTTTTATCACTTACTCTTAATCAATAATATTTTAATTAAATTATTATATTAGGTGAAAAAGATATTAATTAAAAGTAAGAGGTAAAAATCCAAACTCATGTATTCTAAAGTTAAATTTAGCAATTTTTTCAATTCTCTTCTTCTTTTCCTTAATTAGGAAACAGTGTAATTGGCTTATTATGCTAACTTTTGCATATTAATTACTTAATTTGACTTGATTAGAACAAAAAGAGGGAGATCTAAAATGAAAAGAATTACACACGAATGCATTGTGCATTTTTGCTCTTAGAAAAGGGAAGAAAAGATACGGAGCTACTCCTTCTTGACATACATTGCTCACGAAAATATTCATTATTATTTTCATTTTCTTTAAAAAATACAAAACAGAAATAAAAGTGGAAGGCAGCAAAGGTTAAGAGCTCGTTTCGTTCGCTGATTTGAATTTTTAATTTAAGTTGATATGTTATTTTATATGAAAATTTTTTACTCTAATAAAAATATTAAATGTGACTGTTTATAATAATTTTTGAGCCTAAAAGTTACTCGTGGAGACTGTGGATTGAGATTCATTGGTCCTAGTCCTACTTCCTAGGAGACGCCTTTTACGTGTAGAACTTTTCTTATTACTGCGAGCGAAAACGACATCCAACTTTTGTCGCGCCCAATTACAACTAGGCAAATGTGGAATTTTAAGGGAGTAGTGGGGGCTGTCCAGTGTGTTTGGTGAGGTTTTTCCACTACTAGAAAAAGAATTTACACCGACTTTTTGGCTAAATTCTATTGACAACGATTGACTGAGAGTCTAGGATTAATGTGTTTTTAATAGAAATATTATTTTTATTTAAAGTAAAAATAGAAGTAGAAATATAATTTAAAAGTTATACATTTTAATTTTTTAAAATAATTTAAAAAGTACATTAATTTATATATAAAACGTTTTTGTACACATTTATTAAACACTATAATTACATCATTTATTGTATAAAATACTTTTTAAGAGTTTTAAAAGTAATCCTAAACACATTTAGTGTGATATAATAATCAATTAGTGTTTGTCACTGACTTATAGGCAAAGGTAGGTAAGACTCTGCCTAATTAAATTCCAATTATTGAAAGTTGTATTGTACTATACGACTTAAAAGAATCTACAACTGTTTTTTTTTTTTTTTTTTCTTTGGAGGGGTTCAAATTGTCAACATTAAACATCACCGTCATATATATCTTCACACAAAATTTCTGTACCACACATTGCAACAGCGCTATGTCATTGTGAGGGATGATATTGAATAGCTAGTACTATTTTGTGCATATAGCATATGCATGTATACGTGGTGTTGAAATATAAGAACTGATTTTATTCCTCTATATTTGGAGAAGAAGATAATTAAAGAAAACTTTTTGCAGCGCCGAAAATAGTATTAGAACAGGACATTTTAATTCAATTAATAATTAAGAAAACGTATTTTGTACGCTTTAAAATAGTATAATTAGTTACTTAGTTTAAAAATAAATTAGAAGTTTTATTTATTAATTTGCAGTTTGTTAGAGGTACTACTAAAAAACATGAAACTAGCTAGCTACATACAAATAAATTTAGCTAATTAATTATTCTTTCAAAAAAAAAAAAAAAAAGCGTTAGTTTACTAATTCCTTCTCGGATTTCTAGTAATTTGCACGCACATGACACGTGCTATATTTTTCTACAAGCTGGCAATTTGAAAACTTACATGTATATACTCACATCTTTCAGATTTTTTTTTTCCCCACTGAAAGATAAGATATATCTTATTATTAGAAGACTCTTATTAATATAGTTTAAGATTTTCTTTTTCAATATATCTTCCAACTCAAACAATATGCATTCTCATGTTAATGTAGTATATATCATCAACTGCGTGCGAACCTTCAAATGAACAACTCACCGTCAAAGTTTCGCACGCCCACATTAGTGCTATATATATATATATATGCTATATAGATCTTGATTATCTCATGATCATGAGATTCCATGTCAGCTAAAACGCAAACAAAACTTCTGAACAGCCTGTAACTAATCCTTACAAATAGCAAGCAAACCCTTATTTTCTAAGCTCCTCAATGCCAAAACCTTGTCTTCTTTCCGCAAATTAAATAACTAAGCTGTCACCCTCTCCGTCGTGCATGTATAACCAGCATTATCAGTCACATCAACATTAAACACATATCCCACGTATATCCAAACAACTATATATTCACGGACATGCATAATATTGTGTCTAAATGTGGAAGCTTCCTTGGGACAAATCGGTCTCCTATAGCTGTAACCAATTCATGACACGTACGTATACCAGTACTTCTTCCGTACAGGGAAGGATACTTGATACTTCCCTATTGTATCCCATTTGTTCCTTCAAGATCTCAGATCTGTTCCTGGATAACCTAGCTGTCTAGTGTCTCCTAGGCTTTACTATAAATCCATGAAAAAATGTTACATCTTTTGATTAATTCATATATTGCACATATAATTTCTCTATATACTCCCACACACAAAAAAAAAAAAAAAGAAGAAAAAAAGACATTTACCCTAAAGTGCTCTCAAAATCATTATTTTGAGGCTTTTGTCAAGAAAACATGGAACGCTTGAATTTTGAGGCTCTAAGGAACCTACAAAACAGCGCCAATGGCCTACTCCACTCGCCTACAATCCAACAGGCACTAATCGACCACCGGCAAGAGAAATGGGTTCACGAGGTCTCCGAAGCTTCTCTTCGAATGTTGGACGTTTGTGGGGTTTCCAAAGACGTCCTTTTGCTCGTGAAACAACACCTCCAAGATCTTCAATCCACGTTACGTCGAGTGAGCATTGGGGAATTCTCAGGCGTCGAAAGGAAAATCGCCGCTTACAATTGCTACAGAAAGAAGCTAAAGAAAGAAACCCTAAAGTGCTTGAATTCGCTTAAGGGAATGAAGGGCAAATCAATCATTTCGGACCCTAATAAGGCGCCCGTAGATGAGTACAACCTTATGGTGGTTGTGGATGTGCTGAGGGAAGTCAGGGTGACAAATATCTCCATTGTTGAGTCTTTGTTGTCCCTCATTGCCAAGCCTTGGCTTGATCACCACAAATCGGCTAATAAAGGGTCTATTAATATTAAAATCAATATTCTAGGGTCAAAATTCAAGCGTGTGAGTGGACAAAGTTTGCATGATATTGGTGATGCAGTGGAACTTCAAAGTGCGAACAAGAGATTGAAGGCGGTGGAGATCACTATTGAATGCGTTGGGGTGGAGTTGGAGTGCATATTTAGGCGTTTGATCCGTACAAGAGTTGCACTCCTCAACATACTTACTAATTAACTTGGCAATTAATATCGATTAGCAAAAAATTAACTTCGCTATTAATATCTTTATTTATATTAATTGTTGGCCTGAAAACCCAGTTGTGATTATATTTGAGGGGTTTGTTTGTAACCTTGGTTGAATTGTTTACAGCTTATAATTTAATTCAGTTTAGTTACAGTCTGTGTCTAGTACTGTATTTAGTCCTAATTATTATTGTAACTCCATCATTACAAAATGTAATTTTTTCATTCTTTATAATTAAGTTTTTTTTTTTTTTTTTTTTTTTTTTTTTTTTTTTTTTTTTTTTTTTTTTTTTTGCCATTATTGCAGAATAAATTGCGCTGGTTTTGTTTTCCCTTTACTGATCTTGATTTGGATTAATGGTCTTCAATAGGCAAACCTTTCTTTTTTCTTTTTTTTTTCCTTTTATTTCCTTCTGAAAGCCATCCTGAGGAGTTTTATCTCATAAATCACTGTATGATAATGCTTCTCTTAGTAATTGAATGAAAAGTTATGACGCACAATATTTCTTTCCCTCTTCTTGCGTTAGTGGTGAAAATTGCAGTACTGATTGTTGATACCAGAATTTCTCACACACCGATGGCCCACCGGCGAAGTATTGTCCCCACTTGGGCCCACCGTGACGGGTGGGGTTTTGTCCATTCGTAAAAGGCGCCTCGCTGGTAGGAGGGGTTGGCACTCTGGTACATATACCTCTCCAGACCCCCGTCTCCAACCGATGTGGGACTCTCTGATATCAACAGTTGGCGACTCCACTGGGGACGTTTGGCCACGGCCTGCCTTCCCAGTCCCCCGTCTCGGGGGGCACTGTTGTATGCCAAGAGTCCCACATCGGTTGGAGACGGGGGTCTGGAGAGGTATATGTACCAGAGTGCCAACCCCTCCTACCAGCGAGGCGCCTTTTACGAAGGGACAAAACCCCACCCGTCACAGCGGGCCCAAGTGGGGACAATACTTCGCCGGTGGGCCATCGGTGTGTGAGAAATTCTGGTATCAACAGTTGGCGACTCCACTGGGGACGTTTGGCCACGGCCTGCCTTCCCAGTCCCCCGTCTCGGGGGGCACTGTTGTATGCCAAGAGTCCCACATCGGTTGGAGACGGGTGTCTGGAGAGGTATATGTACCAAAGTGCCAACTCCTCCTACCAGCGAGGCGCCTTTTACGAAGGGACAAAACCCCACCCGTCACGGCGGGCCCAAGTGGGGACAATACTTCACCGGTAGGCCATCGATGTGTGAAAAATTCTGGTATCAACACTGATAATCTTGTAGCTAGTATCAGAATAAAATAAAATTAACTATATATATGATTAATACATAAATTAATGTCAATCTTTGACTGATGAAATGACTGAGAAATTAATATATGTAGCTATACCTACACACAACTGCGAACAAAATTTAGAAATTCATTGGTTTTTAATCACCGTGCATGAAGACAATTTCTATAAAACGATTAAGGAAGTTATAGGGATAACTGAATTTATGTGTTTGTTTAATTCCATGAATGATTAGTCAGCCTCTTCATTGTTTTCTCATCTGGATACACGAGTTCATGAGTTTGGCTGGACGAATGGAGAAGTTTCTGCCAAAATTCCGTTCATGTGGAACTTTCCATTTTAATAATTTTATTGTCGTTTGATGTTTCGGAGATCAGAACTAGTAAAACTTATTATAATAATTAAACACACGAAAAGCCTTGATATATAAGCTGATTTAGGAGACAACATTTAGGCAAAGAGCAAGCATGACAACCTAAAGTGTTGCGTTTCTTGAGCTAGTACTACTCTAATTAATTAAACATCAAACAGCGGTACGCATTACTTAATTTTAGAGTCTAAACCTTGTTTACTTGAAGGAATACAGCACACGATTGAATAATCTTCTTTTTGTTTTTGTTTGTTTGTTTGTTTTTTTTGTTTTTTTTGTTTTTTTTTAAGGAAAACTGGAAACCTGTAACGCCACGATATATTTGGGAGATATGACTTTTCCTAACCATTTGCTATGCTCTTTTGGGTTAATAATTGGGAAAAGAAAAAGCTTCTTATTAGTGCAAGTAATTTAAAAATAGTAGTCTGAATAATCTCCTAACCATTTACTATGTCCCAATATTGACAGTTTTTTTTTCCCTAATGCATCTTTATAATAAGAAGAAAGAACACTTTGACTTTGAGGCCCAACACAAGTTACACAACGACAGCAATACTGAATATTGATGTTGTATAATGGTTCCAAAGGTGGAAAGGGTAGAGATGCAAGAACGGGCCGGCCCGTTCTCCTTAGGCCCGCGTGGACCGGGCCGGCCCAGCTCACGAATTTATAGGTCGGGCCGGGCCGGCCGTATAAAAATGACCTCGGTCCAACTAACACCACGTGCCAATTTTACGTGAGCCAGATTGGGCCGTACCGCAGGCCAGGATGGGCCATGCCATGGGCCTTGAATGGGCTGGCCCACTCAAGGCCCATTTTGGCCCATCATGAGTTTAGATGGGCTAGTCCACAATTTTTAATTTTTTAATTTTTAATTTTTAATTTTTAAACAAGCTAATAAATATATAAGTTTAAATAGTCAATGGAAATATGAAAAGAGATATTTTATTGACGATTACCTCATTAAATAAACACCTTTATAAGAAAAATCCAGTGGGACAAAGCCTTGGTAAAGAAAAAATAGTACAATCAGGATAATTATACATAAGATGTTGACAAAATTACTAAGAAAAAGAAAAAAAAACATGAAGATATTATGGGCCTAGATGGTCTGGGCTGGGCTGGCCCATCATGGGCCTAGACGAGCTAGCCTAGCTTGGCGAATGATTTTCCATGGGCTGTGCCGGGCCGGCCCATTGGCCAATATATGTTGGCCCAGCCCAACCCACCAATATTTATGGGCTGTACCGTACCTTAAACAGTGACGGGCCATACCAGCGTGGCCTATCACTGTGTCAGGATGGGCCTGGGCCAGCTCACAGGCCTCGGCCCATTGTTGCATCTCTATGAAAGGGCATACTGATACTAGATAGCATCATAAGGGATAATCGCGTGAACACGCTGTAATTCTACAATTGGAGGGATTTTTTTTTAAAAAAAAAATTTAAAAGAGGTGTAACAAGTAAAATGAGGGGTGGTTTAAAAATGTGTGTAAAAAGTATAACATAAAGTGATTTAGTTATAAGGATTTTTTTAAAAAAAATTTAGGCTATTTTGTACGAACACCTTCTGAAGTTTTTGAATTTAGCTATTTAATCTCAAAACTTTTTTTTCCTGACAATCAACCCCCAGAACTTTTAATTTTTGACACTTTTAGTCCTTGTTACTCAAATTCATTAAGGCCCTATTCATTTCACTTATTTGAGTTTTGAATTTGAATTTTGTTACACTAAAAAGCTCTCAGAAACAGTAAAATCTAATAAGTTATAATTACATTAAGTTCAAGTTTTTAAATGTATTTGTATTGAAACTAAACAAAAATGAACATCATGCCCTTATTAGGCTATCATTTGCAAGTTAGGTGCAAAAAAGGGTCAAAATTTTAATAAATTTGAGCAACAAGGGTTGAAAGTGCTTAAAACTATAAATTCGGGGTGTTGATTGTCAAAAAAAAGTTTATAAACTAAATTGCTAAATTCAAAAAGTTCAAGAAGTGTGTACAAAATAGTCAAAATTTTAGTAAGTGTATAACAAGTAAAATGGAGGTGAGTTGTGAATGCGTATAAAACATAGAAAAAAAAAGTGTTAATAGACGCATTTCAGATTAAGTTTGATTCAGTTCATTTAAGATCATCTATCCACCTAACTCCTAGAAATGACCGGAATCAACGACCGGTCATCGAAGCATCTGGTGGCAGTTGTTGGTTCTAGCATAATATGTAATTTGGTAGAATATAAATCTTTTTTTAACTGTGATTTTGATAAAACGTATTTTTGTTGATCTTAACTAGTTCTTGAATAGTAGAAATCTAAATAAATCTTCATAGTATGTGGCTGAAATTTAAAGGTAAAATTTTTCTTTTTTGGCATTTTTATAAATTGTTCTAAACTAAATTTCAATTTTTCTCTAGTCCACTTTTTCGTGGAAGTTATATTTTGGTCAGTGGCGCTTTACTCCGTGAGAGATTATTATTATTATTCTTATTATGGTGATTAGTCCTGCAATAGTCACAAGATTCCCTAAAATTTAACCCCTCTTAATGGTTGGAGTAAATTCTACTTTTCTAAAAATTCACGGACTAAATTGCCGAGAAAGTAACTTCAAAGAATTAAGTGTCAAACTATGACCGATTCAAGGAATGCAAGTGCTAAACTCCCTTTTTAATATTCAATAAGCCGAAATTATTGGTTCCAAGGACTCCCCAAGCCACGACTTAATTGATCCTTCAACCAGGCAGACATCTTTATTACCCAATAAGTTTTATGAAGGCCGCTATAACCATCTTTTTAAGGATAATTCATGCCTTCTGTTATAGGACTCTTTATATGAAGCCAAAAAAATTACAAAGCCTATTACACTATTCTTTAGTCCTGAGAAATCCAAGTTGTTGTGTCATGAATTAAAATACTGATTAATTGGAGTGAACTCTCAAGTAACTACCAAGAATAATATGGAAAGTAAGAGGCATCAAATGCCGTTCATGGGGAAATAAACTCATAACATGATTTAATTGGAAATTCAACCGCCTTCAACTCCATTGTGTCCTTAGAAAAGGAAGACAAACACACCAGCATGATAACCAAACAAGTTGAATGTAGTCTGGTATCTGAAAGATAAGCCTCTTTATGAACAATGCATTTTATTGATCAGAAAATAACGACTATGTTCCAGAAAGCATTTGCACTAACATCCTATGAACAGAGCCCTTCTGCTTTCTCACTGCGGTTCTTCGCCAAGATGATTGCAACTAAAAAAATTAGAGCATGTTCAGTTTGTTAAAATGATGAATAAACAAAAGTCACACGCATGGTTAACCAACTCGTGCAATCTTCAATTACTTCCGA